GTTTCTCTCCCTGTATCGCTCACTCGTCTCTTCTTCTGTGTTTCTCTCCCTGTATCGCTCACTCGTCTCTTCTTCTGTGTTTCTCTCCCTGTATCGGTCACTCGTCTCTTCTTCTGTGTTTCTCTCCCTGTATCGCTCACTCGTCTCTTCTTCTGTGTTTCTCTCCCTGTATCGCTCACTCGTCTCTTTCGTCCCCTGTCGGCGGCGGTTAAAATAGAATCGCCCCGTCAAAATTGAAATCCCCTATTAATGTATTGATTATATGTCCGGGTCCGTATAGGTCGGCGTCTGGGTCCGGATCCGGGCCGCGGTCCGCCTGTTGCCGACCCCTGCTGCAGAATAACAACATGAATGCCGTGAACAAACCGAAATACACGTGTTGAAGCGGTTCACTGCTGATTACTACGCACCGGCCACCGTAGATATCTGACTAATCGTGTTGCAATTGTAAAACTATATTTCAATATGAAAGGTAGAGGTCAATTAGACTGTATTGACTAACATGTTATACCATTCGATTTATTCATTTTTCACCAAACCTGTGTTCTCTTCAACTTAAACTCTCGTCAATAATAAAGCGATGAATAGAGATGAAGATGAGCAGAAAACACAGTGTGTCTTTTGAAGATGATGAGCTATCGTCACCCTTTTTTGTCCGGTTTCTCACGTGGACCTGGTTCGGGCTGATGTGACGATTGTGTCAGTGTGTGTGATAGGAATGTGGCTCCACTGGTCTCGACATGGCACAGAGATTTAGAAAGCGTGTTTATTATTATTGTGGCTTCAGAGAGCTGGAGTGTTTCCCAGAGCAGGACTTTCTTTTTCTCTGTAGCAGTGATTTTATTCAGGTGTCAATAATAGTTACTGATGTAAGGTAGCTTTATCTTTACTCTTATACTCTGTTCATTTGAACAGGCTTCTACACTAAGAAATACAACGTTATCAGTACAAAATGTAAAGCTCCTCCATGAAATGTCACGATGTGCTAAATGTTTCACTAGCAGCCGATCATTCCTCATGCTGTGTTTGAGTGTGTAACTGCGTTGCTCTTTTGTGGTCTTCCACAAAGAGATAATACCTGTTGGTGGTGGCCAACATGACCAAAAATATCAAAGACTTCAAATATTCGATTTGTTCAGAATGAAAACCACAAGGTTCCTGAGAAAATCTTCGAGTGTTACAGGTATTAAGGTGCAAATAAATTGCATCCTGATATTTATCAAAATATAAAGCAATATATAGACAAATCACAAATGTTTTTCCTTTTAGAGTGTGCAATAAGACAACCAGAGTTATTCTTCGTCTGACTCACAGCATGCTCTTGGCTATTTAGTCAATCTTCATACATTTCCCTCTCTTTTGGCATCAGATAATCTACCTTTCTGCCGTTGATCTGGTAAATTTTGGCCTCAACATCTTCAGTTTATTTCCATCCAGTCATGATTTTGTTCAATGGCATTAAAACGATAAAAACGCTGCTGAAGGTTAATCCATAGGTTAATCCAATGTGTCTGTGTCACTTTGAAATGATTACTGATCATCATTCCAATTTTATGTCAATAACGGAGATTTCATATTAGCTGCTACGATAGCTACGAGAGTGTATGACAGCTTCTGGTTCCGGGGCATTCTGGCTGCGCATCACTCATTCACCAATGGGTAAGGGTTAGATGGACTTTAGGAACTGCCCCTCGATTCTATTGGCTCTAACGGCTCAAAAGAGGTGTCAATCATCAAAATCGACAGAGGGGGGCCAGAGATATGGAAAATGCACCCAAATGACCCCAGAAGTGGAGTTTTTTCTTCTAAATCTCTCTAAAAAGGTCAAATGTCACTTGTTTTGCATCAATCTTGATACAGGATACTTATTACATGTTATAGTTTGGATTCCTAAAGCTTTTAGTCTACCATCCCATCATTCAAGGGTGGTTTTCACTACAAGTAATGTTTTTTTCACTATCATTTAATTTTTTTTACTATGTTCAATCTGAATTTACTGTAAAATAAAAAAATTCTATATTGATTCTGACTTTTCTACATCCAACTCACAGGTTTATCATTGCTTTGAGAACAAATATTATTAATTTAACCCTTTTAGAAGTGAAGATACAGTCATTTGTTCTGGGAATGTCATTTTCGAGCCTGAGACCTGAAAAACAGGCTCAGGGGCTCAACTGGTTAAATCCTCATCGTTTTTTTTTTTCAGTGGTCACGTCGAGGCTGTATAAAGAGCTCACAGGACGGAGGAGGGAGAAACATCCTCGTGTCAATTATAGCGCTCCTCTGCTGCTGCAGGGTCTTTATTAATGGCTTATGGTGTGGGAATTGACACGGTGTGAAATAGCCGGGTGCCATCATCGTCATTTAGCCTTCATTACGAACACCTCTCCTCTTCCTCGCTGTATCTGCAGCAGCAGCCTCTTAAATACAACTCCTCACTCAGACCTCAGGTGATTCTGCTGATCCTCCGTCAGTCTGACAGCACGAGGGCAGCTGCTGGAATACAGACGCTGTAGTGCCCATTATCAAAAATACATAGTTCACAGGCCGCTTCCTCCAAATACCTTTAACGAAGAACATGTAGTCATTGATGGATAGGGATGGGTATCGTTTGAAATGTATCGATTCCGGTTCTGCTTATCGATTCCGGTTCTTATCGATTCCCCGTTTCGATTCCAAAATTGTAAAAGAAAGAGGTCAAACGTTTAGTTAACAAAAATATCTTTATTCTTTTAAGCTTTAACTGACAAATAAAAAATATACATGCAATACAAATGTATTGCGCAATAGCTGTGCTTTATTTTAACTGAGCTACGCCTGTGGCAAGCTATTAACAGGCATTACACTGTGCCTTGTCTTTTTCTTTTTTAGTGTAGTGGAGCCTCACTTCAGAGCGTTTACCGCGACCCATCTTTGCTGTTATGAAGTGACTGAGCTCGTGAACTGTCTACGGGAGGGCGGGGGGAGCCTCGCTGCGGGGCAACGGTGGACCTCTGTCGCCTGTCAGAGCAACTTACATGATGCCGTTTAAAAAATTAAGGGTGGTGCCGGCCGTCAGCGAACCGAGCCGGCCGTCGATGGCCCGCTGACGACCGGCCGTTCTGTGATTCTCCAGAACATACAGATGGCCCGCCCTGACCCTGTATTCCAGCATGTCACAGCGGCGCAGACGGACCTGCTGGAATACAGGGTCTACCGCGTTTAGGAACCGTTAAGCAGAACCAAAATTGTGTATTTTGTATGGGCACCCGGTACCCGGCATTTTCTTATCGGTTCTCATCTATTGATGGGTCTTGAGGGTTTTCTTCATGTTAATTCCATTTATCTCTTGGCGGTCAACTACCGACTTTCTACACTTTTTACTCAATATAATAAGTACTATTACTATCAGGCGTGCATCCTCTTGGTCCTGTGTACTAGAGTCTGCTTTACGGCATGAAACTAGGTCGTACTCAATAGTAAACAGAAACCTAACGCAGTCCAGAAACATACACAACTATAGAAAGGTATTGTTTTTACTCTTTGTTATTCAATTCATTTAAATAAAATGCACAACTTTCTTTCCAACATAAACATTTATAGAAATACACCTAAATGTCTCTTACAGATGCTTCTCTACCAGATCTAAAATCCTGTCAGAGCAGCGTTCAATCTGCAGGAACAGGAACAGAAACAGAAGGCGATAAACATTTCCAGATGCTGCACTGAGCTGTGAGAGAGAAATCTGTGTCTGTGACCGAAGCCTGCAGGGTGGTTTTGAAAGACAACCTGGCTTTAGGGTTTGACTAAAAATCGCGTGTGTTTTGACACAGTTGTGTGTTATGTCCTCCTGGATGGATACTACTCGCCGAGAAATAAAATCACTCTGCTGCTCAGCACGAGGCGGTGGCCTGACCTGACGTGTGTGTGTGTGTGTGTGTGTGTGTGTGTGTGTGTGTGTGTGTGTGTGTGTTGAAAGTAATACAAGAAACCGACAGGGGCATCTGGCCTAATTCCAATAGAAAATGGAATTGGATTAGTGCCTCCCCCCTCGCAGCTGTGTGTGTTTTCCTGTGTGTTATTGTCGAGAATCAAGGCAGCAATGGAGCTCAGCAGCCGGTGAACAGTGAGGACACCCATGCTGCTCAAAAAAACTTACTGTGTGTTTGTGTGTATTTTTCTGTGTAAGTGTGTGTGTTTCCCGCTCGCCTGGCTGCAGACAGATCAGTCATCCACATGACATTGATCACACTCCTCATTTCTCCGGCTCACAGACACTCTTTGTTATCCTGCTGTAACGCACATTAATCTGATGACAGGAAGTTGAAACAGCGGCTCAGTGCGGCTGATTTAACAGATGATTATCACGCAAACACACACACACTTTATTTTATTTCATTTGCTGCAGCTGAGAATATGTAATTACAGGATAAGAGCCTTACCCAGTTTATTAGAATCTGGCTATAACAATTACATTTTGACAAAAAAGACAAAATACAATCAAAACGAATTGCAACACTTGACAATGATGAGAATACCTAAATATTAGATAAAGACTCTCACGTGTCTAGTTTCATTTTCAAAAAGGGCTCAGTTATCTACATGAATAGCACATGGTTTGGTTTAAAGCGGGTAACCGGGGCGATGCTTCGGCGTGTGCCCTCATACCAAAATGCAGATTTTTCCCATAAAATGTAAAGAATACAATATTTCTGTTCTTCAAAAACGATTTAACGACTGCAAAAATATGAAAATTGACTGCAGAGACATTTTTGTTTTTACGGAGCTCTGACATCGCGTTGTTGTTTACGTCCGCGGCGCCATCTTGTATAAGGGCGCCATGTTCTCGCCAGAATTGATATATATCATATATATGCAAGATCAGCGCCACAGTATCGCCCTCATACTATATTTTTGAGGGACTATTTTCCGCGGCGGATGAATCCTCTCCTTTGCTGCTGCAGAGAACATGAAGTGTAGTTTCTCTAAACACTAAAATGTCCTCCTTTTTTCACTTCCAGTGCTGGTCCTAAAGGAGACAACATCTACGAGTGGAGGTCCACCATCCTCGGCCCCCCCGGCTCCGTGTACGAGGGGGGGGTGTTCTTCCTCGACATCGCCTTCACACCAGACTACCCCTTCAAACCTCCCAAGGTGAGCGATACACTGCAGCCACACACACACACACACACACACACACACACACACACACACACACACACACACACACACACACACACACACACACAGTCTAATGTTCGTTCTCCTTTAGCACGTATACAAAATAATGGAGACAGCCGCACTGAAGATAAATGATGGGACCTTATTTTCTTTTAAAACACACTGTATGACATATACTGTGTGTGTGTGTGTGTGTGTGTGTGTGTGTGTGTGTGTGTGTGTGTGTGTGTGTGTGTGTGTGTGTGTGTGTGTGTGTGTGTGTGTGTGTGTGTGTGTGTGTGTGTGTGTGTGTGTGTGTGTGTGTGTGTGTGTGTGTGTGTGTGTGTGTGTGTGTGTCAAAATAAACTGCCGGGTGTGTCCATGGTAATAAAGGAAGATGTCAACACGGAGGCTCAACGATGTAATCTAACAATGGAGCTCTGTGGTAAAGAGGAAGAATATATCAGGCCACACACACACACACACACACACACACACACACACACACATAGTAAAGGCATGGGATTTGCTGAAATAGAATATCACAAGACTTAGCCGTTTCTTGTTATTGTTTCCTCGTCTGCTATCCGTTCAGCAGCATTTGGCTTCCCTCCAGTGTGTGTTTGAGTGTGTGTTCTGCTGACGCAACTGTGTGTCAGTAATTACACGCGGGTTGCATCCTCCCTCGGTTTGAGCCGCGCTTACAGCGGGGTTTTTGGTTTCTGAGTGTGATAATTATCTCTCTCTCTCTCTCTCTCTCTCTCTCTCTCTCTCTCTCTCTCTCTCTCTCTCTCTTTCTCTTTCTCTCTCTATTTAAAGACACGTGTTGCAAAAATAAACAGGGAAATGTAAACAGGACAAGTATTTCAGGATATCTGCCGTGTTTACCCTGCTTCAATATGGACCATTCAGTAAGGAGGCGTGATGTTGGATTAAGGCTTAAAAGTGTTTTTTAAGAGTCATATTGACACGTACAGCTAAATAAACCGTGCTGTAGGAAGCATGAATATCTAAGGTACTTTTAGCCACTCTGTTTGCTTTTGATATTTAGATGAAGTGTTCTCTCCTAAACTGTACTGACTCAGAATCAGCGCTGTTTAGCTAAAAAGTGAGGAGGTTGTTGCTGAAGAGGAATCCGTAAAACAGGGGGAGGTCAAAAAAGACTGTTGTTGGCAGCATCATTATCTATTAGCATCAACCATGATTACAAGCTGTTAATGAGACCACACTGGCTGCTTTAGCATGCTAACGCTAACCTGGACACGAAACCTGCCCTCTACCATCCATGCCATATTTCTTGTAACAAAACCCTGAAATGTGTAAGCACTTATCGCTTCCTTTTCCCTCTTCAATGGTGTTCTGAATGTGTTTTTGGTTGTTAGCACAAGCTGAAGAGATTCTGTTTCTACTACATCAAATACGTCAGTAAATACAACACTGGTGAACAACCTTTATAGACAAAGTATCACAAACGTTGAGATTATAAAAGCCAATGGAAATATCACAGTGGCTTTTTGTGGAGGGGACCAGGAAGATGCTGCCTTCAGGGTCGATTATGACGGTTGAAAACAGGAATACAAGCCAGAACAAGCGGACTGTTTGCTTCTCATGTGAGTGCGAGAGGGCTGGCGGCTGTTTGTCTCTCGTAACGAGGAGATGTGAAGGGAGGAACGTGGAGTTAATGAGGATAAAAGGGGGGAGGCATGCCTGGTCAGAGGTCAATCCTTAATGATGTAGTGCTGATGTGAGGCTCTTCACTCTGCAGAGACACCATCAATGCTCCTCTGTATCGAGCTGTGCATTCACCGTGGAGCTGCCATAATGTTTATACTGCATTGGTGTATTGGCAGACATCCATTAAAGGCTTGTTTGGAAATCAATCGGAGTGTATGATTGTATTTCTACAGCTGGATGTGTCCGGGCAGGCAGCACGTAGGATGTGAATAGTGATTTTACAAGGCTGTTTATCGCCTTTCTGATTTTAATTATTAAGTGATACATAAATGATTACTATTTATATATGGTGATGTTGAGAGGGTCGAAGATTTAAATCCACATGTATTGACCTTGTGATTCTGTAGCCTTAACGTGAGGAATACATATTTTGGGTAATGTTAGTTTGTAGCAGATATATCCAAATAAACAATGGCAAAGTCTTGGTCATTATTTATGACCAATCACAACAGAGCCGGCCAGCTAACCAATCAGAGCAGACTGGGCTCTGGTTTCAGACGGAGGGTGAAAAGAGGTGCTGCAGCACAGGCAGTGTGAGAAAAATAAAGAGCTTTTTGAACATTAAAGCATGGAGACATGTAGAGACACTACATACTGATATACACCTGAACATCAGCAGCTTCTGCCCTCTATAGGCGCTTTCACACCGAGTACTTTTCCCAGTTTAGTTCCGATATAGTTCCGAAAATGTTGCGTTCACACACCAAAAAAATCCGGAACTAAAATGAGTTAATGAGAACCGTTCCACCCCCTTTTCAGTCCCTGCTAGAGAGCAGGGACTTTCGTGGGAGAAAAAGGTTCCTATGTCTGATTGGCTGGGCGGATTGCAAACCACGCCCCGTAAAACTCCCAAAAAGTTTTGTGAAGCCGCCATTTTATTATCCTTGCATTAGCATTATTAGCATTAGCATTAGCCCAGCGCACAAACGGAGAGAGACTAACTTATGGCAACACAAAATAAAGCATGGGAGTGGTGGAGATCAGGAGGTGCCGGCGTTCTGGCGATTTACTCGGAAGGCTTCAGTAGAAGCTGCTGGGAGTCCAACTCCAGGGACTTCGGGTGGCAGTAAATTGTTTGCGGCCTGCCAGTAAACCCAAAGCAGAAGAAGAAGAAGTGACGTCAGCGGCTTCATTTGCCTAATCCTCCCTCAGGGACTTATTCCGGTGAGAACGCGATCTGCTCTTTAGTTCATCAGAACTCTTTAGTTCAGAACTAAGTACTGGGAACTAAGTACGGCAAAGTACTTGGTGTGAAAGTGCCTTATAAGAGTGGGGTTTTATTCTAGTTTACAGGAAACTCATATTGTGTGTGTGCAGGTGACTTTCCGCACCAGGATCTACCACTGCAACATCAACAGTCAGGGTGTGATCTGTCTGGACATCCTGAAGGACAACTGGAGTCCTGCTCTCACCATCTCCAAGGTGCTGCTGTCCATCTGCTCCCTGCTGACTGACTGCAACCCTGGTGAGAGACACACACACACACATGCGCACGTGCACACACACACTTCTCCTCATATCTCCCTCCATGTTAAGCTGTGGCAGGTTGACTGACAGGTCCTGTCTGTGTGGGTAATGTAAACGGACGCGTGTCACTTTGATGACGGACTGCAGGTTTGTGTAACACAGCTCCTGCACACAGATACATTTATATTCTTTTATAGAATAATCATATTTGCAAATCAGCTACTCAGTGTTTACCGTAATCCTATTAATGTTTTTGTTACTTACATCTCTTCATCCTTATATCCTTATGTGAACTCCTACCTGTCCTTTTTTCTGTGCTTTACTATAATTGCTCCCCCATCTTTATTTTATCTATACGGTGTCTTATCTAATCTCATTTAATTGTATCTTAATCTTATCTTTAAATTAACATTACTTAGATTTCAGAAGAGCGTCTCCATTACGTAATATTCTGTAATGGTTTTATCGAAGCATAAATTATTACTAATTAAATACGGTGATGATAAGAGGGCGGACGATTTAAATCCACATGCATAGACCTTGAGATTCATTAGCCTTCGAAATCTTAAATAAATCATCTGGGTCGAAATACTTAATATAATTGTAGCAGATATATCCAAATATATTTTTTAAATAAGGTAAATGTGCAATTGTTGGCATGCAAAGTAGAACAAATACATGACATTATTTTCATAGCGCTTGCATTCATCCTCTTATAATATTGTTCCATAAACCATTAGCCTGGGCAGTCAAATGAATATTCAAGCAGCACTAAACACAGCCCTGTAAACACCTGAAACATGAAGGACAAGACGTCAACTCTCTTGAAGCTAATGACATCCATCAGGCTCTGGTTAAGAAGCAGAGGAGGATTTTATGGACCAGTTAAACCAGTACGACTGTTCCTCAGCTGCCAGTAATGAATGTCGAGCAGAGGGCAAAAAGCAGAACAGAAATCGCAGGTTGAGCATGAAATAATTAATAGAATAAGAATCAGTGAGCGGTGCGGAATAATGACAGGTGATTTCACATGTGGATAACGGGGAACAAGATGGTAAGAGACAGGAAATGGTGAGGAGGGGGGGTCTGATAGTCCTGATGGTGAAGACCTCTCTGCGGGGATCGCTCTTTGATAACTAAGCCGCGCAGATTCTTCCTCTCTGTGGGTGAAAATGAGAAAGAAAATCCTCTCTTCCTCCTCCTCCTAAGAGATCAAATGATTCCTTTAAACTATTACACAAAAGAGATTTGATCGACACCCCGTCCCCACTATGAAAAAAGAGAGACTTTCCTTATCTCTTTCTGCCTCTTGCCTCATCAAAATCTGTCTTTTAAACCCTGCCTCAAGAGCAGAATGATCTCACTTTTACTTTTCCCACCATTTTGAACAAAGTGTTCTCTTCCTGTCTACAGTCTGTTCAAAATTGACCAATCAGCATCGAGTATTCAACTATGCCGTTTAGTTAAAATTATTACATTTGTATTAACGTCCATACCTTCAAAAGCTGTGCAATTTATACTTATTTCAACCCAAACGGAGGCTTTACTGAACTAAAGCAGGTTGTTTTGCTGCATTTTTGTTTTACTTTACAGCTATGTGCCAAGAATATGTGTCTCTCAAAACGTGATTGAGTATGAAGAGCGATCTGCTGGATGAAAGTCCTGGATATCCAAGCATATTTTTCTAAATCTGATTAACATTGAATCCCCAGATTCCTCCAAATTCTTTACAGTTGTTCCAAATGACCACACTTGTAGGCTCCTGAACAATGGAGGGTGTTGTGTGAAGGATAAAAATGCCTCAAGTGCTGAATGTCTAAAGAGAAAACGCTAAAAATATCCCTCCTCCGCCTTCAGCCAGAAGCTTTCCTCCCGCGCAGGGAGAGGAGATCTTTGGCATGTAGCTCATTAAAGTGGGGGAGGCGGATTGAATGACAGTTAATCGACACGTCGCTCGGCCGCCAAAATGATCCTTCATCACATCTCTACCCAGGGGTGTGAAGTACATTTACTCAAGTTCAAGGTTCAAGGTTCTTTATTGTCAAACTAACATAGCTACAGAGTAATTATGTCCTTGAAAATCTTAGGTCACAGGCTTCTCCAACAATGCAACACAATAATACAGATAAGCAGACAATATTAACCAATATTAAAATATACTATATTAAAAGTAATACAAAAAGAAAAACATTTTAAGTGAGAGAAAAAAAAGTGGAATAGTGCAATACGAGTCTATATACAAGTTATTGGAATGATATATTAGATAATAGATAAATAATTACTAAGTAGCAGATGAATGTTATGAAATTGTTTCAGCAGTTCAGTTGTTTAACAGTCTTATTGCCTGCGGGATGAAGCTGTCTCTGAGGCTGGTTGTTCTTGTCAGTACTGTACTTAAGTAAAAATGGAAGGTACATGTACTTCACTTGAGTATTTTTCAGGCTGTGCTACTTTATACTTTCCTACATTTTGGTAGCAATGTTTTTATTTTTTACTCCAACGTCTTTTCCCTCCTTTTCGCAACCTCTGTACAACCACCAAAAAGCAATGTAAGATTTTTAACAAAGCCGCAGGGATTCCTCCTGCAGGGCCGGATCATATTTCAGGCTGGTGGTGATATTCAGGCCGGTCTTTTATAATAAAGGTGTCTGCGTTATCCCCTCTGTAGCTGCAGGGCTGTCAGTGAGTCAGAGCTGTAATAACACTCGCTCCGCCTCAGAGGAAGCCTTCAATCTGGATTCATATCAGAAAACATTTCAGATCAAAACTGTTAATGGACTCGGCTGGTGAAGCTCCTTCTGAAGGGGCTGGAAATATGTAGTTATGTGTTTGAATCTACGTTAACCCAGTGTAATGTTGTCTTTTAAATGCACTGTTTTCCAATGGTTCCTTTTTTAATAGTTCCTTAAAGGTGGGGTAGGTAATTCACTTCTGAAACACTTGTAGTTATATTCCATGGAATGCTCTTAACATCCCGATAGCAATGAATATATTAAATGCTTTGACAATAAATACATAAAAAAAGTCATCTGTGGAAGCCGTGGCGCTGTAAAAAGCACGACCAATCATCTGAGCCGGCCCGGCTAAAGTAACTGGATGGCCTACCTGCCTGTCAGCCTTCCATCTGTGCACAAACTTATCTCGTGCCCCTCATTGGTCATGTGCGCGTTCGTGTGTGTTGGAGGAGGGGCTCTAAGGAAGTCTGAAGGAAGGGGCAGATTTTTTCCGGTACTTTCAAATTCTAGCGCACTCGAGCTGGTTTCTCCATTCTTACCTACCCTACCTTTAATCAGTATTGCAATAATTAGATCATTTGTACACATTCATACTGCAGAAAGTGGTCAGGAACAATGCAGTTATGAGGCTTGTTTACATTGTGCTGCATTCAAAATAGGTTTTTGGGACAATTTTATGTTTTTTTTGTCTTCTTTGGACCGTAAAGAGAAATCGGAGTGTGGTTTTGTTGTGTTATTTTCTCTACTCACAGTATTGTTACTTACTTGAGGACAAATACATAAAGACATTTTTTATTTTAGATTGTGTTAATTTGTAGGTGTATATCAGTATGTAGTGTCTCTACTGGGACATGTCTCCATACTTTAATGTTCAAAAAGCTCTTTATTGTTCTCATACTGCCTGAGCTGCAGCACCTCTTTTCACCCTCTGTCTGAAACCAGAGCCCAGTCTGCTCTGATTGGTTAGCTGGCCGGCTCTGTTGTGATTGGTCAACCTCTTACGGCCCCTACACACGGCGGCGTGCGTTGAAGCTTCAACGATTCTGCCCATTCACTTTGAATGTGGTGACGTCACGCTTTGCCGAACTGCATTGTGGTTCCGTCGCTTCGCGTTGCTCGCTTCAAAAGTTGAGCAATGTTCTACTTTTGAAGCTTCGACGGAAGCGTCAGCCAATCGAATCATATGCCAGTACAAGCTATAGCCAATCAAACCGCGTGCTTGTGTGTCCGGGGCGGGAGATTCCTGTGATTGGTTGTTGGTCGAGCTTCAGACACGCCCGCCGGCAAGCTTCAACGCACGCCGCCGTGTGTAGGGCCCGTTAGAGATGTCCGCTTAATGATGAAAAAAGTCCAACAAAAAGCAGAATAGAGCCCCTTTAAGACAAAGATATAGGAAATATTAGAATAAGAATTAAATCTGAATACTGAGTTTATTAAAGTGGAAAAGTGGATTACATCACATTTGCAGCATTGGTTTCCTCTCCCACAAACTGCCTGAAAACGCCTCCACTGGACTCCTTTGTTTACTTCTGGGCCCCTTTGAAACGTGGCCCTATTGTTTTAACCTTTTACACCAAAATAAGGATACTGTGACACTTGTATTGGTTGTTTCAATTCTCACTGAGTTTTTCTCTTGTGTTCTCAGCCGACCCTCTGGTGGGAAGCATCGCCACACAGTACCTGACCAACAGAGCGGAGCACGACAGGATAGCCAAACAGTGGACCAAACGCTACGCCACATAGACACACACACACACACACACACACACACACACACACACACACACACACACACACACACACACACACACACACACACACACACACACACACACACACACACACATGGAAGCACACCCGCTCCTGTCACCCCCCCCCCCCCCCCCCAACACCTGGAAAATGAACTCTTATTTGTTCCATGCTGACTTGAAAAGCTTCTTTTTTATACAAAGAGTCTATTGGGATTGTGTTTTCCAATACACTGAATGTTGATATGGTCATGAAAAGCTTTAATACTGTTATTGTATCGTTGTAATGTTGTTGCATTGTTTATAACATGGTCGCTCCTCTTTATTATTCCCATTCCATGTGATGGTTTCTGTAAACGGATCATTCTGAGTGAGTGCTTTTACTTTCTCTCCCAGTGCTTTTGGTGGATATTAGTGCATGGCCTCAGGATGTGTGTGTTCATGCAGCGGACGTGTTCGTATTGTTTTTATTATTTCTTTTATTTGTCTGGCATGGAGGGAGCCCATCACCATGATAGTGCTATAAGTCTGCTGTACATTTAATGCCTAAACATATTCGATTAAACACTGGCTGTAACGTGTCACAGCGAGTCTCTGTCTCTTTACTGTGTGTGTGTGTGTGTGTGTGTGTGTGTGTGTGTGTGTGTGTGTGTGTGTGTGTGTGTGTGTGTGTGTGTGTGTGTGTGTGTGTGTGTGTGTGTGTGTGTGTGTGTGTGTGTGTGTGTGTGTGTGTGTGTGTGTGTGTGTGTGTGTGTGTGTGTGTGGCAGGCTCAGCTGCACACAAAACAGTGACACTTTATTTTCATATAAGGAAACTTTTGACCAGGATAATGGAGTTACATAATGCAATAACATGGAGCTAAAGTGTATAAATACAGTCTATCAAACATAGTAATGCAAAGGCTACTCCAAAGTATGCGAGAACAATGTCTTCAGGAACGTTTAGGTACTAAATACACAAATTACTTGACTCTCACTATACATTTTAGTGATTTCAAAATGATCTTATGGCTCTCTCTAAGCAACATTTGAAGTTTGTCTTAGGTTTACTATGACACTACGATTACAAAGTACTTTTGATGATCGGATATTTCAGGGTTTTGTTGAGTCGTGTCATGGTCAAATGAAACTCTTGAATCTTCATAGTAGGTAGAGCACAAAGCAACTCTTGTGTGTGTGTCTCCCCGACCACTTCCTGTTAGACATGAGTCTTCACAGCTTCACCACAGAGAGCAGCGGTTAGATGGTGAAAGGAAACCATTTATAATTTCAGGTCATTGAATTAGTGAAAGTAAAAAATACAGTGCTAATATTTTGACGATTACTTTTTGACAAAATAGGCGTATTAATATGTTAAAACAAGCTGGGGGATATGGTGTATATTATCAGAAAACAACAAAAGTGGTTCAAACTAACGGAATAATATCACACATTTAAGAAAAACCACTGAAAATAAAATTGTACTTTTATCTTAGGGAAATAGTTTGTGTTGTTTTTTCTTGCAAATGTACTACCTTTTAAACGTTAGACTCCTCGCGCATACCAGATCATGGCATCACATCACCCCAGTCCTCAAAGACCTTCACTGGCTTCCTGTCTCCCATCGCATCAACTACAGAATTCTGGTCCTCACCTACAAAGCGCTCCACCATCTAAGGCGGGGCCTCGCATATGACGCACACCTGCACCACCATCTCACCAGTCATAGCTCACATAATTAACCTCTCCATAAAACAGGGAAAAGTACCCAAAGACTTCAAAATTGCAAGAGTAACCCCCCTGCACAAAAAGGGCAGCAAATTGGACCCAGGCAACTACCGCCCTGTTTCTATACTTACCTCCATCTCGAAAGTCATGGAAAAAATAGTATATGAACAGGTGGAAAAGTACCTCGCGGAAAAGAAACTAATCTATGAATTTCAATCTGGCTTTAGAACATCCCACTCCACTGACACATGCCTTCTTTATTTGAGCGACCACATCAAACAAGAGGTGGACGAGGGCAAGTACTGCGGCATGGTGATGCTGGACCTACAAAAGGCTTTCGACACTGTCAATCACCCCATTCTGATTGACAAGCTAAAAGCCATTGGTTTTGATAAACTATCGGTGAGCTGGATGCAATCCTACCTGGAGGGGAGAGAACAGATGGTGGAGGTAAACGGTACTCTGTCCCCCCCCCCTCCCAGTGAGCTGTGGTGTTCCACAAGGAAGCATATTAGGTCCGTTACTGTTCCTAATTTATGTAAATGACACAACTTGTTCCTGTTCGCGGACGACTCAGCCCTGCTGGTCTCTGACAGGAACAGGTTGCAGGTTGAAAAAACCCTCAGCTCCGAGCTCGGCAGAATCTGCACCTGGCTCGCCGATAATAAATTATCATTACACCTGGGTAAAACAGAGTCCATTCTCTTCGGTTCGAAACATAATCTCAGCAAATCCGACGACTTCTCAGTTGCAGTGGGCGACATTATTGTCACAAGTAAGAAGGAAATTACATACCTAGGATCCAGTAGCGTGGCGTGGGGAAAAATGTAGGGGAAGCCCATTTTTTGGGTCGGGGGGTGGTCAATAACGTAACCAGATGAGTGATTACAGCGCCCGGTATCATTTGACACACATTTGTATCACACAGATGCAGGACTTGCACACGCCTGTTATCTAACCGACAGGTCCGCACGCACTCTCCAGCTGAAACTCTCTCCTTATTAATTTAAGCATTTTACTTATTAATGTATGCAGACAATCACACAATCTATGTGATTTTTGGATTTACCGTGCCTCTCAATTGCCCGTGACAGGTTGGCAAGGTCGATGAATCCTGAAGTTGCCCAAGGATTGTTCAGGGAGCACGAATCCTTGTCAAAAAGAAGACATGGCCAGCAAATTAGACGCTGAAGTTTAGCGCTTCCAGTTAGCCACTCCGTGCGGACATAATTGTCCTCATTGAACGTCCGATTCTCTCCCTTTTTCCTCTGCGTACACACAGCTCGAGTGCGGGCATTTGCCTGTCATCTGATTTAATTTGTAGTTGCTGCTGTAGCGGAAGTTTAGTAAAGTTATGTTTGATTAAGTACGCCAAATCTCCACCCTCCATAATGCTTCATTTGCTTGATAATTTCTAACGGCGGTGATGACAGTTACAGTATTAAAACTGATGTTGATGTGATTTGATTGGATGGCAGTGTCCAATCAAATCGCCAGCCAACAGCCGCCTCTGAAGGGAAGCAAGAGGCGGCTAGCTTCCCTTGGCATGGCCCTGACCAATCACAGGTTGGCAGGGGCATCACGTGGGCCTCATCTGATTGGTCAATCCCTCCATTTTTTTTCACCAAGGGAAGCTAGATTCGGCTGGCCTCCTCTCGCAACAGAGTGCAATCTACTGTTTCACCATAACATCTAGAGGGGCGCTGTTTGTTTCACTCTTTGTAAAATACTCAATGAGAATGGGGGAGAGACGGGCCGGCAGCAACACACAGCAAAGGAGAATTATCGAAACAAAACAAAGTGTTTGTATTTATTTATTTAAATTATAACTACAATCGGAAAAAAACAGGGGAAGCCTGGCTTCCCTTGGCCTCCGGGAGAAAACGCCACTGCTAGGATCTATTCTTGAGGCAAACCTCTCCTGTGACAAAATGGCATCCAATGTAATAAAAAAAGTCAATCAAAGAACTAGATTCCTATACCGGATCTCCTCTCTGGTAAACAAAAACACCCTGAAAACTCTGGCAGGAGCACTCATTCAAGGGTACTATGACTATGCTTGCACGTCATGGTACCATAGCACCTCCAAGGCGCTAAAAATAAAACTTCAAACATCGCAAAATAAACTGGTCAGACTACTGCTTGACCTTTCATCTAGAACCCACCTCACCTCTGCCCACTTTGACAACCTAGGATGGCTTAGAGTAGACGACAGAGTACAGCTACTTGCAATGGGCCTGGTCTACAAGATCCACTACACCTCTATGGTACCCATGTACATGTCAAAATTATTCCCAAAGGTCAAGGAATACCATGATCATAACGCCAGAGGGAGCTCCACAAATCATGTGAAACCCATATTTGGCACAAAAAAGGGGGAATACACGTTTCGCAATTATGCCACATCAAGGTGGAACGCTCTTCCCACAACTGTAAAGGAAAGTAAAACTATACTTACCTTCAAAACCTCTCTTAAAGAGCACCTTCGGGGGAGAGCATTGCAAAACTGGCCCCGGTAATGGTACAAATCTCAACCTGTCGTTCAATGGACAGCTTCCCCCCCCCCCATCTATGTATATACTCGCATTTTAGACTCTGTTACTAACTGTATATCTGTAGACTTGGTATGTCTTAAATGTCCGGTTAGGATGTATTAGAACGAAATCTAAAATGTAAATTGTAAATAAGCAATCTGTATGTAAAAAAACCACCTGTATGTAAATTGTAAATAAGCCATCTGTATGTCAAATATGTCTTATATGTCTTAAATGACATGATGAATTGGAAATGGGGGACCCTGATGTAAACAAGACGAAAGTCTTTCTCTGGTCTGCATCCCCTTAACAATTGTATGTTTTGAGCTGTACTGTACTGTACCCAATATACAAGCTGTTAATAAACTTTTCAATCAATCAATCTGCACATCTGTTCGCCTGTTCCACCATTCTTCGTTTTCCGAGGCTAGGAAGGATTCTTGCCTCGCTTCTGAAGGACCTGACTCGGAGGGACCTACCAAGGAAGCGTCCTCGACATTGAGAAACACCCTCTGAGTACCTCACAGTCTTTCAGTCCCGCCTCAAAACCCATCTCTTCAACTTTGTCTACCCATAAGCTCCGCCCCCCCCCCCCCCCCCCCCCCCCTCTCAATCAACTTCCTCTTGACTGCCTTTTCTGTTTGTCTACCCTCCCTCATACTGTAAAACGTCTTTGAGTTGTAGAAAAGCGCTATATAAATATAATGTATTATTATTATTACCTTAATAATCATGGGAAATGTTGAATCTTAGACATTTGTTATTTTTATCCATTTTATTTTGTTATGTTTCTTTAAATTCCTTTTTTAATCTCAACAAAATGCTAGTTATTTTTCGTAAAATGTCACTTTTTGATTTGGGAATATTTGAATTTAATTTGAGTATTTTAAATTTGTGAGTTTTATGTAAAATGTTCATATTGAATTTACACTCAACTGGTGAATTTAAAAATGTGATTTTGTGTTTATTATATGAATGTAAAAGGCTGTAATTCATCGTGTTGAAAAAAACAGAGAGAGGTAAGTTAATGGACCTTTTTCTGATAATGCCCATGTTTATATTTAATGTAATATTTCTCTAGTTTGCTTTTATTATTACATCCTTATTTCTCTCACCCTTTGAAACTCAATATTTCTAATATAAAGATGAATGTAGATGTCAGTCTGTCTGCTTCTGGACCCTCACTTCCGGTGAGAAGCGGCACGCGTCCAGCGGCACGCGGCAAGTTCACGTCTTTGTTCACGAAAAACCCGGAAATGAGACAATTCATATCCTTCAAAATAAAAGCAGCAGATTTAACTCACATCTCAAGCAATTTACAATTATATATACTATTTGTAACATGGTTTTTTCAAGGGCAATGCCAATCTTTTTTAGACCAAATTAATATAAGCATTTTATAATTGAAATGTATTTTTTAATACCCTTCTTTAGATTCAAGACTTTTAGAATAGTATCGGAGGGATGAAACCCTGAAATGGAATGGTCACACATGCAGAGCACACAGCACACACAGTGAAATGTGTTCCCTGCTTTTAACCCATCCTAGTACTAGGAGCAGTGGGCAGCTATTGTACAGCGCCTGGGGAGCAATGGGAGTGGGGGGGAAGGGGGATGTCCGGTGCCTTGCTCAAGGGCACCACGGCAGGGCAAGAGGTGAACTGGGACCTCTCCAAGTAGAAGTCCACACTCCATATTCTGGTCTGGTCGGGGACTTGAACCGGCAACCCTACGGCTCACAGTCCAAGCTCCTACTGACTGAGCCACTGCCGGTCACTATTGTCAATCGTATAGGCTTATTAAAGAAAATATATATTTCAATCATTTCAATATGTTCCATAATAGCAATTCATGATCGTACAAACATTGAAATAACATTTAATTGATGATGATATGTTATGTCATAATACACTTTTATTCTTGTATTTCCTTAACTTTGAGGTTATATATTAAAGGGGACCTATCATGCAAAATGCACTTTTTTATGTCTTTTATACATAAATATGTGTCGCCGGTGCATCTGGGAACTCACGCAGCGTCAGAAAATAAAACCCTCTCTTTTCCTCCGTACCCAAACCTTTTAAAAACGGGGGTACAACGGAGCTGATCCAGATTTGCCGCCGATATGACGTCAAATCGGCGGCGGACCCATAGAAAGCTACTATCAAAAACAATGCCTGACGTGTTTTGGACGTTATCTCGTCTTTGTTTACATTAGCAAGCCTCGCTAACACTCAGAGCTAACCTGTACTGTAGAGCACATGTGTTTAAAAAGCAGGAAATAAAAACAAGAACTCACCTTGTGGTAAAACTGCAAGAGAAAAGGCATTTGAGCTCCATACTGTTTCAGAAATAATCCTTGATGTGGTTTAGAACAGGATGGCGTTTTATCACAGCAGAATTTAACTTTATCTCCGGTAGAATTCTGATCAGGCATTAGCTCCGCCTCCTCTTTTTTTTTTTTTTTTTTAAGCTAAGGACCCAAAATCCGCGTTTCTCTAACAGGGCTGCAAAAGAGGGGTATGAGCAGTATGAGGCATGGCTACAATGGGTGATCTGTTTGGTATTTATAGAGTGGCGAAGTCCCTCCCCTTCCGGGGGAGCTCCATGGGACCATATTTCGGAAAAATTATGTATTGAAGTCAATGGAGAGAGAAATATTATCTTTCGGTTCCGTTTGAAATGTGCCATGAATTACACATATGATGTTTGTCAATCTTAAAATAATTTCCATGTCAAAAAAGTCACAGTTTGTCTTAAAACTGTTGAAATATAAGACTATGAAAAATACGCAACTAGAAAGACTACAAATCCCAGAGTCGCGTAGGTGAATTTAGCTAGCTGACATTAATGTTACACATTACACTCGTGTTACTCACCGAAACCTTGTAAAGCCGGTCCCGCATGCTGGAACCGACTAACTCCCCTTTTCCGTATGTGCAGCTCTCAACATGGCCAGACTTGTAGTGATTTTCACCTCTTTTAATACTTTTCGCTTCATTCTGAAAGAAAGAGGTGAAATGTGCTAACGTGACGGCCATCTTGGTGTTGGTGACGTATGCGAGACCAGAGTTCTAGTTCATTGAGCACTTCACACAAAAACATTTGTTACTTCACAGTTTTACGGCACATTTAAAACATTTTGACTCGCACAATTATCTTTTAAATTGACAAACATCATATGTGTAATTCGTTGCACAATTCAAACGGGATCAAAAGATAATCTTTCTCTCTCGATTGACTTCAATACATACTTTTTCCGAAATAAGGTCCCATGGAGGTCCCTCGGAAGGAGAGGGACTTCGCCACTCTATAGGTATGGCCCTACAATATATGTCTCAAATATAGCATAATAGGTCCACTTTAAGCTGTTATTATACCTTATGTTTCTTTTGGTGCCCTTTTATGTTCTTGCATGCACTAATAAACTTGATCTTATCTTATCAATATATCATTAATACCTTCTCAGTTTCCGTATGCTTTTATTTTCTCAAACGATGACCGGAAGTGTGTTTTCTATCCACCGTTGGCGCTTTGACACTCGTGCGTTCAGGCGTCGGAGACACACACACATAAGCTGTGCACACACAAAGAAAGGTATAAAATACTAACCATTTGTATTGCAGGGCAGCATATTGTTAGCATTGGATGTAATGTGTGTTTTCTGCAGGATTCTGGGGCTCCACACGTTTCCGGGTTGCCTTTAAAATGAAGATTTAAGAGTCGGTGCATCCTGTGACTCTGAGATCAGCTGCATGTCGACGGATATAGCTTTTAAAAAATGCAAGGAGAGGAAACCCTTTAAGTGCACGGCGTGGTGTGTTTTGGTTTTAAAGGGTTAGAAACAGGCTGTCAGGGCTGCAGTAGCATTTAGATTTCAGCAGGTAAAAGTTTCTTTAAAAGGTGTAAAATGTGCACGCTGCGACATCGATGCATGTTTCCATCCCCGACCTATTTGACTCCATACACAGCCTCCTGTTGTGTGTGTGTGTGGTCTGTGGTGTCTTTCAGAAGTAGGCCTGTAGCCCAACTAATCATCATATTATTTCCCTTTGTGGCAGGTTAAAAAAAGAACCGCAGAGTGCAAACAGAAAAAAACAGCACAGCCGATACATTCCTCATTAGCATTTACAACGTGTCACATTTAAATTGATGTGTCAAATTAACTCGGGTCAACCTTAAATCGAGGTATTTTTGTTAAATGAACGTAAAACTCAACGGAGCTTCTGATTTTTAGTGACGTTCTATTGGCGCGAGAGGTTCTATTTACGTGTGTGGCAAACAACGTGTCAGATTCCATTCAAAAAATCTTAGATGTAAAAGTGTTTGCCCTTATTTGCGGCTGTGTTTAGGTAATACAACTAAATAAAGATTGAAGAAGACTTGTAAGGACCTTCTGTTAAATTCGGCATTACAGGTATACCTTTTTAATACAATCTAAATGTCATTTAGTTAAAAAGAAAACCTACATTTTTAACGTTTTCAGAATCAGAATACCTTTATCATTCACACCAAGGGGAAATGTAAAGCGAAAGTAAAGAGGCAAAATATTGAATAAGAGGCATAAATAAAATATTAGAGACATAAATTACACAATTTACAAAACACCCATCTAGGTGGACAACAATATAAGTACAATTACAGTATTTAAAATAATAAGTGTAGCATGTAGAAGTAGTGTGATTATTAATAATAATATATTTATTTAGTTAGCGCTTTTACAGGTGCTCAAAGACGCTTTACAGATATAGTGAAAGGAACAACAAATAAATATATAGTTAAAGTTAAAGTCAAATAATACAAAAACAATCACACATTAAAAGCCAGATTGAAGAGGTGAATTTTTTTGCGATATTAGTGCGCTTATTTACGACTGTTTCTAGTTAGAAATGTTGGAGGAGACTTTTAAGGGTCCTTTGTTAACTTCAGCATTACAGGTTCATATTTCAAAACAACAATTTGGTTAACACAACCTGCCTTTTAGTCCAGAAAGACGGTAAAAGTACACTTTAATTGAAGTATTATTGTATTGGAGACATGCCGAAATTCTTGAGTGCCACTTCACCTCAAGTGTTGGTCAAGCTTTAATCATTACCCCTTAAGCACGGCTTTAAAGTGAGATGCCAGGTTTTTTTTAATGGGGTTTGGGGCAAAGGGGGTTTGTCTTTTTCTACATCTCGTGTTTGTGCTTGTTCCCCAGGCTCGTTATGTCTGATGAAGATTCGCGTTCCAGCACCAACTCTTCCTCCTCTTCATCGTCAACACATCATCAGGACTCAAACACACCGAAGAAACGAGAAAGCAAAGCCAGCATGAACAAGTCCTCCAAACTCCTCTGCACCAGTGCCAAGAGGTGGGCTGTTTTTCAGGAGGAGCACACGTTTGGATATTCTGCCACTTATTTCCAGGCTTGATTTTCAGTCTTTTAGGGTTTTTTAAAGAGACCCTATTCTGATTTTGGAGGGTTTCCCTTTCCTGTATTGTGTTAAATAGGTTTGTGTGCATGTAAACAGTCTGCAAAGGCTACAGCACAGGCAGTATGAGAAAAATAAAGGGCTTTTTGAACATTTTAGCATGGAGACATGTAGTGAACATTTGTAGGCGTGTTTCGTACTAGATCACAGAGAAGCAAAACGTTTTATTTTCTTTAACATTCAGTAAATTAGTTGCAAAGCATCCTTTTCCCATATTTCATTCACAGCATTTGTTAAGAGTTTAGCATTTAATGCATGCGTTTTTATTTTTGTAGAATCCAGAAGGAGTTGGCTGACATTACATTGGATCCACCACCAAACTGCAGGTGAGTGTGTGTGTTCCAGTGTCCGTGTGTGTTTCAGTGTCCGTGTGTGTTTCAGTGTCCGTGTGTGTGTTTCAGTGTCCGTGTGTGTTTCAGTGTCCGTGTGTGTTTCAGTGTCCATGTGTGTTCCAGTGTGTGTGTGTGTTTCAGTGTCCGTGTGTGTTTCAGTGTCCATGTGTGTTCCAGTGTGTGTTTCAGTGTCCGTGTGTGTGTTTCCGTGTGTGTTTCAGTGTGTGTGTGTGTTTCCGTGTGTGTGTGTGTGTGTGTGTGTGTTTCAGTGTCCGTGTGTGTTTCAGTGTGTGTTTCAGTGTCCATGTGTGTTCCAGTGTCCGTGTGTGTTTCAGTGTCCGTGTGTGTGTTTCAGTGTGTGTGTGTTTCAGTGTCCGTGTGTGTTTCAGTGTGTGTGTGTGTTTCAGTGTCCGTGTGTGTTTCAGTGTCCGTGTGTGTGTGTGTGTGTGTGTGTTTCAGTGTCCGTGTGTGTTTCAGTGTCCATGTGTGTTCCAGTGTCCGTGTGTGTGTTTCAGTGTCCGTGTGTGTTCCAGTGTGTGTGTGTGTTTCAGTGTCCGTGTGTGTTCCAGTGTGTGTGTGTTTCAGTGTCCGTGTGTGTTTCAGTGTCCGTGTGTGTGTTTCAGTGTCCGTGTGTGTGTGTGTTTCAGTGTGTGTGTGTGTTTCAGTGTGTGTGTGTGTTTCAGTGTCCGTGTGTGTGTTAGGGCTGCACGATTTTGGGAAAAAATCTAATTGTGATTTTTCTGACAGATATTGCGATTCGATTTGCGATATTTGTTTTTAAGCGACCCAACGGAAGTTTATTGTAAAATGCGGCCATATCTCCGGCTAGGAAGGTCGTATCAACGTGCTCCCGTCTCTAGCACCCCCGCAGCCCGAGCTACGAGTGAAAGAACTAAACTTGCATGAAACTTCCGTTGGGTTGCTTTAAAGTCAAGCTTCAGTTTGAGATGCACCCTTTAAGATGTAGAACATGTGATGGAGCATTACTAACCTGACCCAGATGGTTTGTTTCACCAAACCATCTAAAGCTCCATTGGAAGCCATTTGGAAAGGGCAGGCACTTTCAAAACTACTTGGCAGGTGATTGGATCAATCTGTCTATCACCTTCTATCATGGGCCACTTCTGATTGGTTAACAATGGCTGGTACATGTGGAGCACAGCACTTCTGATTGGTGTGGATGACTGACACAGAGGAAGAACAAAAAAAAAAGAATGTTAAAAAAAATCTTTGAAAATACTTTCAAATCGCGATTTAGATTTAAAATCGATTAATCATTCAGCCCCAGTGTGTGTGTTTCAGTGTCCGTGTGGTAGTTTCTTTTGAACCCTTATGTTGTGTTCGGGTCTCTCTGGTTTCAGACAGAGGGTGAAAAGAGGTGCTGCAGCACAGGCAGTATGAGAAAAATAAAGAGCTTTTTGAACATTAAAGTATGGAGACATGTCCCAGTAGAGACACTACATACTGATATACACCTGAACATCAGAATCATGTCCTCTTTAATATCTATGGTTCTCCTCTGCTGCTGCGGGAGTCAGATTTGGTAAAGCTCTGTGTTCCTGTTTGAAAGGTTAAAGCTCAGTAAAAATGAAACCGCTGAAATGTGTGTGTGTGTGTGTGTGTGTGTGTGTGTGTGTGTGTGTGTGTGTGTGTGTGTGTGTGTGTGTGTGTGTGTGTGTGTGTGTGTGTGTGTGTGTGTGTGTGTGTGTGTGTGTGTGTGTGTGTGTGTGTGTGTGTGTGTGTGTGTGTGTGTGTGTGTGTGTGTGTGTGTGTGTGTGTGTGTGTGTGTGTGTGTGTGTGATACTGAAGTGAATGAGACGGAGATAAAATGTCGTCTGAATGTCAGTCAGAGGAACATCAGTCTGATGGATTTAGTGCGTATAAAATATATTCTTAGTACAGGAATTCTGATTTAATATAAAGGGATGTGTGTTATATTTTTAAAGCACATCAGTTCATTTCCATCATCTTGTTTCGGCCACTATTGAAACAGTCCACATGTCCCTGCCTGGCATTTGGCTTAGTGAAAACCCTACAGTCTGTCCAGTGTAAAAGTGAAGATTTACTTATCAGTGTGAAGCGTTAATTAGGGATAAGGTGCCGATTCAGACTGTTTGTTTGTGAGATTACGTCCTGACATTTCCTTCTTCTGTTATTACAAACCACACAGACAGAAACCACTGATCACAGAAGCGCTGTGCAGAATAACTGAATAATAGATTGTCTCCTTATTTATGTAAACACACTGCTGTACACTGTTTTGCTTGTGCAATTCAGTCTTTATTTGTATCTGAATAAGTGTCCTGCTTATCATTTAAATTGAAACTGCAAAGTGAAGTTTGGAGCGCTTCATCGAGCAGGAAATTATGTGAGAATATCTCTAGTGTTAGCAGAAGCTGGTGTTGACTCTGTTCAGTTTTATCTCCCAATGATCTTTTCTTTTATCACCCTCACCGTGTTCACATAATGACTCACACGGGCGATTGCTTTTTATTGTTTTTAATGAATTACCAATATGACTTGGACTGGAGTTTTGACTGCAACACATTAGAAAGATGGTGCTGATGGAGTCATTTAGCAGATTTTGAGTGCTGAACCACAATAAGCCTCAGTATGTGGAGGACAAACGGAAAATAACATGATAATTAAAATCTGGTTCGGCTCCTCAGGCTGAGGGGGTACAGCCAGGAGGTGGAGGCTATGTGTGAAATATGGGTTGAAATATGATTGCACAATGAATTGGAGTGTAGAATAATGATGCCACCAGCATTTAGTTCCTCGTCTTGCTTTAAAGAGTCCTCTCCTGCTGAAGTTCAGGTGTATATCAGTATGTAGTGTCTCTACTTTAAAGAGTCCTCTCCTGCTGAAGTTCAGGTGTATATCAGTATGTAGTGTCTCTACTTTAAAGAGTCCTCCTGCTGATGTTCAGGTGTATATCAGTATGTAGTGTCTCTACTTTAAAGAGTCCTCTCCTGCTGATGTTCAGGTGTATATCAGTATGTAGTGTCTCTACTTTAAAGAGTCCTCCTGCTGATGTTCAGGTGTATATCTGTATGTAGTGTCTCTACTTTAAAGAGTCCTCTCCTGCTGATGTTCAGGTGTATATCAGTATGTAGTGTCTCTACTTTAAAGAGTCCTCTCCTGCTGATGTTCAGATGTATATCAGTATGTAGTGTCTCTACTTTAAAGAGTCCTCTCCTGCTGATGTTCAGGTGTATATCAGTATGTAGTGTCTCTACTTTAAAGAGTCCTCTCCTGCTGATGTTCAGGTGTATATCAGTATGTAGTGTCTCTACTTTAAAGAGTCCTCTCCTGCTGATGTTCAGGTGTATATCAGTATGTAGTGTCTCTACTTTAAAGAGTCCTCTCCTGCTGATGTTCAGGTGTATATCAGTGTGTAGTGTCTCTACTTTAAAGAGTCCTCTCCTGCTGATTTTCAGGTGTATATCAGTATGTAGTGTCTCTACTTTAAAGAGTCCTCTCCTGCTGATGTTCAGGTGTATATCAGTATGTAGTGTCTCTACTTTAAAGAGTCCTCTCCTGCTGATGTTCAGGTGTATATCAGTGTGTAGTGTCTCTACTTTAAAGAGTCCTCTCCTGCTGATGTTCAGGTGTATATCAGTATGTAGTGTCTCTACTTTAAAGAGTCCTCTCCTGCTGATGTTCAGGTGTATATCAGTATGTAGTGTCTCTACTTTAAAGAGTCCTCTCCTGCTGATGTTCAGGTGTATATCAGTATGTAGTGTCTCTACTTTAAAGAGTGCTCTCCTGCTGATGTTCAGGTGTATATCAGTATTTAGTGTCTCTACTTTAAAGAGTCCTCTCCTGCTGATGTTCAGGTGTATATCAGTATGTAGTGTCTCTACTTTAAAGAGTGCTCTCCTGCTGATGTTCAGGTGTATATCAGTATTTAGTGTCTCTACTTTAAAGAGTCCTCTCCTGCTGATGTTCAGGTGTATATCAGTATGTAGTGTCTCTACTTTAAAGAGTCCTCTCCTGCTGATGTTCAGGTGTATATCAGTATGTAGTGTCTCTACTTTAAAGAGTGCTCTCCTGCTGATGTTCAGCTGTATATATTAGTATGTAATAGGGATGTGCATCTCCATCACTGAGGCCGATGGATGCGCATCTCGATACATTGCTACTTCAATATGGTACGACAGAGGATTTTTGTTTTATTCCTTATATGCAGCAAATCATAAATTAACAAAAGTGCTTTACATATTTGGTACTGCGCATCCCATCATGCTGTTTAATTTTTACCTTTTTTACCTTAAAAAACTCTCCACAGTACAATTGTATTTGTATAACACCTCACAGTTAAACAATGTAAGGATGCATTGCCCATGATTAACAATGTGCAAATAACAACTACCATAGTGCAATGCCCATACAGCTGCCAGCCTGATGTGCTTAACACTCATCCATAGGCTAACTCACCAGTGAGCAGAAAGCAGTGGGTTCTATATGAACAATAAAAAATACAAATAAACTTTCACAAACAGGTATTTCATAACTGCTTACAGTAAGGAAGACATTTAAACTATTATTGGCAGTCACAGTCTGCTGTAAACTAAACACCACTCTCTCAGACAGAACACCTCACTGAGTGACTTAACTTTCAGGTTTCTCTTTTCAGCCGCAGACCCCATGTCACCTCTTTATGTGCGTCGCTAAGTTCCTCATACTACTTGTGTACTTTAAAGCGGCTCGGCATCGTTTACAATTCGCGAGCGATTTTTCAAGTTGACCGTCTTTCTTGAAAAATCCGAAGTGTTGCCAAACGTTTGATTTGTAGATATTTTTCGGTGCGCTGTGTTTCTCTTTCTCCTCGACTTCCATGTGTGTTGATATCTGAGACTCTCGGCCTCCGTAGTGTGAAGCAAAGATCAAAGATCGTCTCTGCTGAGTGCTGACAGGGTGAGGGGATTTTATATGAATTAATCGTTTTTTTACCGATGCAAAGACGCTACAATCGATGCATCGCGAGTTCCACGCAAACTGTAGCCGATGTGCACTCTTTCAACCGGTGCACTCGCATCTTGAACGTTTATGCCAGTGCACCGATGCGAATCGGTGAATCTTAACATCCCTAGTATGTAGTGCCTCTACTTTAAAGAGTCCTCTCCTGCTGATGTTCAGGTGTATATCAGTACCTGTGCCTCTACTGCACATGTGTCAAACTCAAGGCCCGGGGGCCAAATCAGGCCCGTGGTGGATTTAATTTCGGCCCGCAGGATGATTTTTAATTACTATTAGATCTGGCCCTCCGGTATATTGCACGCACACCTTCACTCCATCCTGAGGGTCTCCTCAGCTCAGAGCCTGAGCCCAAACATTGATGACCTTGCACCCAAGATGAGATGCCAAGTATCTGGCTTGAACTAGCATCACAGAGCAGCACACTGAGTTTAATGGATGTTTCATTTTTGCACTTTGTTTCTTGAGACAACAGGGCATGTTTGGTTTGTTCTTTGAGGGAAATAGTTTGTTGAAGCTGTTGTTGGCCTGTGGGAAAATGTAATCATAAGAAATGACTCCGGAAAAGCTGCAGATAGAGCCATAAGAAATGAATGCAACTGATTATTTAATGTTGTTTTTATAGGCAATCATGTAAGCTTTGTTAGTTCCAGGTTTAATATGTGCAATAAGTTCATTTCAATACGTTTTGCAATAAACATTGAACCAGTCGCCCTCGACTAGTACTCATTTTTTTATTTTGGCCCACTGTGTATTTGAGTTTGACACCCCTGTCTACTAGGACATACGCTAGCCAATAGGAGCGCGAGTTCTACATAGTGATGTCATCACATTCCAGAACTTGGGGATTTGAGCCTTTGCAGACCGTTTACATGCACTAAAACAAACAGAAAAGGGAAACCCTCCAAAAAGCAGAGCCTCTTTGAAAGCCTTAATGTTCCCTGTTTCCTGACAGTGCTGGTCCTAAAGGAGACAACATCTACGAGTGGAGGTCCACCATCCTCGGCCCCCCCCGGCTCCGCGTACGAGGGGGGGGTGTTCTTCCTCGACATCGCCTTCACACCAGACTACCCCTTCAAACCTCCCAAGGTGAGAGCAGAAGTATTGTTGGCTTGCAGCGAAGCATTTTGACAGATGTCTCTATTCCAGAGGTGTCACTTTCATACTTCATATTCTCCACTAGAGGGCAGCAATGCACTTTGAAATGTAAGGCTAATCAGCAGTTTGTAATGGATCATCTTTATTCCCTGGGTTCCTCTGTTATATTATATAATTCTATTAATTTAAATGGATTTAGGCATACGATAAAGCATGTTCCTTTTTGTTTTATTCATGCTGTATGGATTTGTTTTTCTATGTTGTAAAAATCCCAAAACAAATTCTTCTTTTTGACACAACCAAACATCACAATTTGACTTTGACTTCCCACATATCCAAACTTCACCTCGTAAAATCTGACCTGAAAGCTTTTCTTAATCATCGGCCAATCTTCTTAAATTCAGTATATATTTAATAACTACATGTCTATAAGTGCATGTGTGTTGGATTAAAGTGAAGGACGTGTCAGAAATAAATTACATTTGAGCTTCATGGGTTTGATATACATTTAAATTTGACTGGAATGACAACGTTTACAATGCAACTGTCATTAGAGTTCGAGTTTAGCTTAAGAGAGTGTTGTGTGTGTGTGTGTGTGTGTGTGTGTGTGTGTGTATTATTTTTTGTTGTGTGTGTGTAGGTGACTTTCCGCACCAGGATCTACCACTGCAACATCAACAGTCAGGGTGTGATCTGTCTGGACATCCTGAAGGACAACTGGAGTCCTGCTCTCACCATCTCCAAGGTGCTGCTGTCCATCTGCTCCCTGCTGACTGACTGCAACCCTGGTGAGACACACACACACACACACACACACACACACATACACACACACACAGTGCTCACTGACTGCAACCCTGGTGAGAGACACACACACACACACACACACACACACACACACACACACACACACACACACACACACAGTGCTCACTGACTGCAACCCTGGTGACACACACACACACACACTCCATTCTACTACATTTAAAGCAGCCACTCACTCACACACATTGTTACTTCCTGTTTATAATCGTGAGGTGTTGTTTGTGTTCTCAGCCGACCCTCTGGTGGGAAGCATCGCCACACAGTTCACCACCAACAGAGTGGAGCACGACCGGATAGCCAAACAGTGGACCAAACGCTACGCCACATAATGAACCACAGCAGGGGGTGATTTTTATCTCTGAAATGAAAATCTTAATCCTGACGTTTTTGTTGTTTATTGTATTTTTATTATAAGTTATCTCCGACCCAGTTATTCCCAAACCTGGCAATAATGCGTTTTTTGTTTGTGCTTGAAGATGGATGCTAATGCTAATATGCTAACTGTCACAGCATGAATCCCAGTTCCAAATATATCAGTGTAACATATTCTCACGTGTTAAATTCTCCCTGTTTTTGGAAAAGGTGTTAAGATATGGATGGATGTTGGTTGTGATTTGTGTTCTCTTCCGATGACTAGCTTGTTCTGTTTCTCTTCAGTATTAAACATTACCAACTGCCTTTGTTTCAATCAGGAGAGACTTATTTTTTGAGTAAACGCAAAACACAATATCAACACACCGACTGGGGCCAAGCAAGGCATCCAAACTGAGTAAAACCAATCGTATGGAAGGAACACACGTTAGAAATGTCTGTTTAAGGCGTCTAGGTGGCTTGGATAGAAAGCAAGGAAGGAAGCCGTGACGTATGTCGAGGAAGAACTCGTTCAATTTGAATCTGGTGTGTAAATAAATTACCACTGCATGTTATTTGTTCATTTTCTTTATTATTGGGGTACGTTTTTGACGAGTGGGTTATAGTGGTTACAATGGTGGGGCCAGTGAAATAGAAACAAATAATAATTAGAATTCTGAGGGGAAAGAAATCTATTTTGTTCTTAAAAAAACCCCCCCGATATTTCTGATTTTAACATCTGGGCCCAGTTGTTCAAAACTTTTAATCTCAATCAGATCGGATCAGATTTTGAAATCCCATTTTTTGTGATCCAGGATCAGACAACTCAAGACAGATTTTGTCCCAGTATTTCAAAGCCATTCAGGATAGGATGACCCTTATCCAGATTCAGACTTTTCAAGATGCAGGGATGCAAACTTGTCACCTTTCGGCGAAATTCGACGTTTTGAATCCAAAATATGTCGTTTGTGTGATTAATGTAGATCTGCAATACAAATATTTTTGGGGTATGGAGGGGGGTCTGGGACCCGGAGTAATCTGCGGCCGCGAGCTGTTATGTGCCATCATGACACGCATGGTGTTCTTTTTTTTATATATGCAGCGCGAGCTGTGTGCTCGAGTCTTCCTCCCTGTCGGCTCTGCTCATGGATGTATCTGCGGCTACGCGATGATGGTCTAGCTTCAGCAGCCACATTACCTACTACGGGTGCGTTCGTTAATATTAACTGTGCGGTCCGGAGTCACTGTGGCACAGACTGACCGCTGGTGAACAGCTGTTAGAACGGGCCGTTCAGGAGTCCAGAGCAGAGCTCCCTGTTGGAGCGGCAGAGCGTGATGTGAACTGAAACGTTTTTCTGTCGCAATATTATCGTTGAGCTAGCTAAGTACTCAGATCTTGTACTTGATTAAAAGCAGAAGTACTCAGATATTGTACTAGAGTAATAGAAGTACTCAGATCTTGTACTTGAGTAAAAGTAGAAGTACTCAGATCTTGTACTTGAGTAAAAGTAGAAGTACTTGAGTGTAGGAACAATCCTGCAATCAAAATGTTCCTCAAATAAAAGTACAAAAGTATTATCATCAAAATATAGTTAAAGTAGCGACAGTAAAAGTAGAAGTACTCAGGTCTTGTACTTGAGTAGAAGTACCAGAGTATAGGAATATTCTGTTACAGTAAAAGTACTGCATTCAAAATGTTCCTCAAGTAAAAGTATTCTCATCAAAATATAGTGAAAGTAGCGACAGTAAAAGTAGTCGTTGTGCAGATTGGTCCATTTCAGAATAATATATATGATGTGTTTTATAATGATTGATCATGAAAGTGTTCTCAAAGCTGGTAAAGGTGCAGCTAGTTTGAATGACTTTGTATACTGCAGGGTAGCTTGTGGATTTACTCCAGGTGGAACTAAAGTCTGATTTAACACTTGGTTAGATTTCACATCATTCATCCACATCTGTGAAGTAACTAAAGGGATTAAATACATGTAGTGGAGTCAAAGTACACCATGTACCTCTGAACTGTAGTGGAGAAGAAGAACAACGTAGCAAAACATTGAAATACTTAAATAAAGTACAAGTATCTCAAAATTGTACCCAAGTATAGTACTTGAGTTTATGAACGTATTTACTTTACACCAGTGGCTATACAGATAGAAAGACTACGCCTTGCACAGAGGCATGACAATACATTTCCAAAATGCTCAACAGTGCTGCCAAAATGATAAACTGACTGCTACACAATTAAAATAAATGCTTTTATATATTTCTATTAGATGTGACTCTTTGGCGTTTCTGTTATTATTACCTGCTGCTTTAGTTCTTCTGACTGCTAACATCCTGTTATTCCTCATTTTAAAGCCGATATTCCGTGGGGTCGAGGGGCTCGGTCCTTGTCACCTTTTTCATACCTGGTGAGGTTGCATCCCTGAAGATGACTAGATCCTGAATATCAGTGCTTTAATCCTACCGATTGCCATCTAGTGGATGAGAAAAAGAATACAAGAAAGACAAGATACCACATTGCAGAGACTTCTATAGTCCGCAATTACTTTTGAATGGTGATGACAGATGATGGACTTTTTTTGGTTGAAGATATTTTTTCTTTAATCTAAATTATATTTGGGATTGATAATCTGTGTTGTGATACTTTTATGAGCATAAACATTTATGTCATCAACATTTGGTTGAAAACAAAATTGGCCACCACAAACGCGAGCAAAAAACGCGAGCAAAAATACATTTCCCATGAAGGCTAAAAAGTGTGTATTATTTCAGTTAACAAACGTTGCCATCTTATTTATATTGAAACATATTTTAAAATAAATTGTACAGTACATTTTGCTCTGGAAATCCACCCCTCTGGTGGGATCAAGATAATCCAGTTTTTCGGGATCAAAATGATCCCAATCCTGTGTTGTCGGTTTGAAGATTTGATCCAGATTAAAGCTTGGATTTGATTTCCTGATCTGATATCAAAGTGATCCTAATCCTGTTTTTTGGTTTTGAACTACCTAAAATCCAAATCTGATCTGATAGGGATTAAAAGTTTTGAACTACTGGGCCCAGGACATCAAATTATTATTTTCTTGAAATTCTGATTTTAATCTAAAAAGTCAGAGAAAAGTCATAATTTCAAGATCAAATTCTAAATTGTGAGGCAAAAAGCAGAATCTTAAGAATAAAAAATGACCGACTGACTTTGTTTCATCATCTGTAGTTTGTAAAAACACACACACAGGGTTTAATACGAGGCTACATTTTATTCAGTGCATCTTATTAGAATAATGCACGACCTCTGTTCTACTAGCAGCACATTCATTATTACTTTAAGGAAACACAAAGAGAAACAGCGCAGATCATCCTTCACATTGATTCATCATTTTTTCAAAACAAGTCGAGGAATGTGGTTCATTAAAGTGACAAAAATAAATTAGTTTAAAAATAAATATTTTCTACTGTTAGACACGTTAGCCCTATTGGATTAAACAGGCTGGAAAATACAGAAGTGCAACTACATCACAAGTAAATGCAGCACCATGACTATTATTGCTGCCAGGCCTTAATATATATACACATATATATTCATATGAGATGGACTGGACGAATGCTGCATTCACATCCCGTGGGAAATAACATCACAGATGTGTCTGAAAAAAAGACAGGTGGAGTGCAGCTTTTGTGAGTTTGGTGCCACAGATTTAAGGACATACTTCTGAAGTGCTTTTCTGAATACAACGAGATGTTTATGTTGAAAGAGTGACAGGTAGCTGTAATTATCTATACTGGCTACAAAAAGATTGCATACTTACGGAAGAGGATTAGGGCAACTTATTTTCTCCTGGTTTGACGTAACTCAGAATTTTACTTTTTTCAAATGTTTTGGTGGCCAACTTTTTATTGTTTTTAATGTTGTCATTTTTTAAATCAGATTTTGCTCAGAATTGTGACATTTTTCTTAGAATTTTGACCTTGTATTTTTTGTTGTTGTCACCAACTTTTTATTTTGTTATTTTTCTCAGAATTTTGACTTATCTCTAAAAAAAGTGAGAAAAAGGTTTCCGATAAAACATTTTTAAAGAATTACTTTTGGTCAGATCTTTTAAAAAAAACACATGGCCCTAATCCTCTCCTGTACATACTAGTGCAATCCAATGTAAGAAATGGGGCTAATTACACGCTGGATTAAATACATTAAGCGGACAGTATTGTTTTGTTAATGGAGGATTTGAATCAGTCTTTTTGAGTCACATGTACAGCACACAGTTTAGTGTTAGGATAGGATATAACGAGATTGCAGATGGTGCTAAAATACAATCACCAAATGTAATAAGAGGCTTAGTTATACTAATAAAGTGGAGTATCGATCATTAGGACTTGAACAGGCGACCTTTGAGTTTCCAAATGCCTACACACTGAGCTCCTAGATTGGGAACTCTTGGGATAAATAAAGATAATTTCAGCAACCACTGACTCTTTAAAATATACAGGCATTGTCTCAAAGAACAACTTAAACTATCATTCAACTTTGAATAGAGTGGACAAAACCTATAGTATACAGTTCAGTTGAAATGGTAAGTAAACATAAGTGGTTATTATAAAAGGTAAATCCACAAGATCTGTGTTTGAGTTGCGTCAAATCTTTGGTACTAAAGTGCTAACGATAGTTTTCCACCTTCAATGAAAAACACTGACGAAGCTACAGGTGACACTTCTGTCTGTTTGGTTTGCTGTAAACAAAGAAATACAACATGCATCCTCATTGGATTAGTAAACAACACAGGAGAATACAGGATTCACTTTCTACCTATTTGTGTAAAATTACAGTTTTGCCAATGGAGTCTGGTGGCTTTGAAGAGAAGAGATATCGGCTACAGTTCTTCATCGAAAAGGGCCAACTGCCAGCAAAGTAAAGGGATGCTAATATTCTAAATACAGCGTCAACATAATGGTGTTTTTATGTGTCTAAAATATGTCCACAACAATACATAGCTTAGCTTCCTTCTGGTACTCCTGTCCGTTTCCACAAACTGCATCTAGTGGCGGTAATACACTGACTATGATAGCTTCTTATATCAATCATACAGACTTGGGTTCTCAGTAGGAAAGATGATTAGCATTCTTCTTAAAATGTTTTCCCCTACAATTATGTAGTATATAGCTGACTTAATGTGTGTTATGCTGCTTATAGAGTGGTGTAGGGATGTCATATTATTTTAGGTTGACCCTGAAGGCAGCATCTCCCTGAACCAATGGGATTTCTCCATGTGATCTTGGATTATTGCGGGAAATAATCTCTGTGGCAAACAAACTTTTATGATTCTTACACGTTTTGTTCGGCAGGATCAGGTCACCTCCGCTAAGCTAAAGGTAGCTAATGTTGGGCTATAAAGCAGCAGGGTCACATGACTTCACGTCAACACCGCTAAACTCAAGGAGGAGTATTAACTGACTTTATATAGTAGAATCAAAATATCTTCAGTTTGTGTTAACCACAGATCTTATTTCAGGCCAAAACACATTTAGAAAACCATTAAAAAGAGAGGACAGGAAGTGGTAAGATGCTGACGCGTTCCAGGGTTTTGGCTCTCAGATGTCGTTGGACGGCGTTCCTTTGCTCTTGCGTCCGGGCAGAGGGAAGGTGGATTTGCTCTGCGGCTGCGTGAGCCGGCTGGTGAGCTGCGTGAACGGTTCGATGAGGGAGTTTCGCTCGGTGACGCTCACCTCCCACAGCTTCACCTTCTCGCCTCGAGCCCACTGCTGCGCCGCCTCCGGCTCCACCTGGCGACGCTCCCGAAGGTCCGTCTTATTCCCGAGAACGATGACCGTCACCTGCGAACAAACGCACCAAATACTATTCATTTGTTTTTTTACAGATTTTAGATGATGCACTAACAGTAGCAAGAGATATGACACAATAAAGCATTTCAGGATTTAAAGGTCCTCTAGTATACTGTTTTTCATCAATATATTATAGGTCTCAGATACAAACATGTCTCTGAAGTGTTTGGCTCCAAACACCAAACAGATCATTGCAGCATTACCCATAACCCCCTCTGTTTCAGCCCTGTTTCCAAAGTGCTGATTCTCTGTCTGTTACTTTAGATGAAAATAAGGAGCCCCTCCCCACGCCCCTCTGAGAGACATTTGGTTACAAAGAACACAATGGTGCTCTAGGACAGTGCTTCTCAAAGTGTGGTCAGTGAGCGCCCCCTAGTGGTCCGTGAGTATATTGGTAACATTTCACATTTGAAATAAATAAATACATTTAAGTTTTCCGCACTCTCGCGGGAATATCTCCGCAATGGAGCGAGCTTAAGTTTCACTTTCGATTGCATGATATAACCCAGATAAACACCTTCATCACACATGTTGCCACTTGTTTGTACCATTTTCAGGCGATTTGTAAAAAACTATGTGTTTTTGGATATTTGTGGAGTTAGGTAGTCCGCGAGTGTTTTTTTATTGGTTAAGTGGTCCTTGGTATGAAAAAGTTTGAGAAACACTGCTCTAGGAGGAGATTCAGGTGATAAAGGGGGGGGGGGGGGGGGGGGGGGGGGGGGGGGGGGGGTTACCTTGGTTGGTGATTGGCTAATGGTTACACAAGCCAAAACATCGTTATGACATCATAAAGTGCCCAAAATCTGATCAGCTCATTTTCAGACAGGTTTTTATAGAAATGGATCAGGACAACAAGTGAGTGAATCTTTTTTCCTGAAACTTTCAGAGTCTCTTTCCACAGAGGGGACACATGTTGATGTAGAAGAGACATGAACAAGTGGATTTTGCATGATAGGTGACCTTTAAAAATTCAAAGGCTTTATTGTCATATGTACAAAACCTACAGCTTAAGCTTTTGACAATACAAATATTATATCCAAGGCTAAATGCAGCAAAAGCCCCACCTCTTTCTTATCTCTGGACTTGTCTATCTCCTTCTTCAGGACATCCACCTTCTTGAAGGACTCCACGCTGTCCACACTGTAGACGAGCACGAATCCGTCCGCCACAGAGTAGTAGTGTTTGGGGAGATCCTGTCCGTCATGCAGACCTTTGGTGTCGTAAAGCCTCAGCTGCTCCTTCACACCGCGGTCCGTCTCCACCGACGCCACGTACACATCCTCCTGCGTCTCACTGGACTCAGAGCCTGCAGGAAACACAACACACACTCAGGAAGGAGAAAGGGATCCAGACAGATGCAGCACTGAGGAGGCTCGGGCATCACACTCTGCATGTGTGTGTGTGTGTGTGTGTGTTTGTAAGCAAGTCTGATTTGATGGTGTATCAGCAGGCACAGATGATGGTGTATTCCATTGGTATCTGTACAGTGAACACATGTGTGTTAGCATATACATGAGAAGGTTTCTCTTATAAACACTTTTGCAATTTACTTTTCATTTTGGTAATGTTACCTGCTCCTCAAATAATTTTGAAGTTCAAAAGTGTGTTTTTTTTTTACAACACACATTGCAAATGAAGTGTTTTATTGTATTGACGAAAATATAGATCAATGTAAGCTTCTTCTTATGCTGCGTTTACACCGGACACGATGCAATGTTTGGAGGCGGCACGATTAATGCAGAGACGGAATTTGACAGGACAGACGCAAATTCGCTCCGACGGTGAGCATGAAGCGGTGGACGCGAATTCCGCGGCGCGATTGAGGCGATTGAAGGGGGCTGCAACAAACGCTCAAGTTTTTCAACTCGAGCGTCATATTCGCGTGATGCGAACTCGCGGTAGTCAATCAGCGGTGAGGATCTGCCTGCCGTCACTGACGTTCAACCAGAAAACATCAGCCGTTAGCCGTTAGCACATCTGTTCAGAAACTGGACAAAAGTTAAACAAGCACAAACTGTCTGTGTCATGGCGAATACAGTCGCTGGTTTATTTATGTCTGTAGGCCGTTGTTATGAGTGTGGAATGAGCATATACAACGTTAGCTTAGCCTGGTCGACCCAATCTCCATTCAGAAAACACGCATTTTAAAAGGGTTTTTCGCCTGCTGTCTGTCTGCAGACTTGTCAAAGCATTAATTCATGGTTTTTACTAACCGGTATCAGTATGTTGTTACTTCGGCATCATTTTGAAACGTGTATTACAATTAAATCACGGTCAAATATGTTCATGTTGTTGTAGTTGTAGCCCCCCTAGCCAGCACGTCTTGTTTGAATGATGCGAGTAAACACAGCTGACAGCCGCGGTGAAACTCGAGCGTTTAGAGCGATGCGATAGGAGCGATTAGAGCGAAGCGATTTTTGAATGATGTAACAGCCTTCCGAACATCAGCCTTCCGAACATCAGAGCAAACTGAGAAACATTAAGACTAGATCACCTTCACAACACAGACTAACCATTGGACCAGTGAACAGTGATGACATGGCCGGTAAGTTCCTTTCTTGGAGTTATTTCACAACACTGCACATTACATAATACAGACGTTGTAGCTATTTAGTTATATGTGTTTTATAGTGGGTAACCTTGGTTCTCTTATTATGATAATGCAACAACTTTCCCATTTATAATCACAATGATTGAGCAATTAGGATTTTGAAATACGTAGATAACCTTAAGACAATCAAGTCAGAGAGCAAACTAAAGTATTTAAAAGGCTTAATATCAAATTGGCAGGCATTGCAACAGGTGTATTGTTAGGAGCTCTTTTTGGCAGAGTAACAATGGTTGGACAAGTTATCTTAATGTTGAAGAAAAAGAGCCAGGACAAATGAAATCTTTAACCAACATTGCAGGAGTAGGAGCAGCAGGAGTAGGAGCAGCAGGAGTAGCCGCAGAAGGGCTATCAGCAGGAGTATCAGCAGTAGGACTAGCATCAGTAGGACTAGCAGCAGCGGCAGCAGTAACACCAGTAGTAGCAGTAGCAGTAGTAGTATCAACAGCAGTAGTCGGAGCGGGATCAGTACGTGCTGCAGCGAGAGCAGGGTACAGATGTGTTGCCGAGTATCCAGACGCACAGAGAGCAACAGAGAAGGCCAGGGATCAAGCACTGTCTGAGTCTGAATGCGAGGCAGAGAGTGAGAACCAGCTTCGGATGTTTGTCACCATGCTGACGGTGAAACTGATGCTCAAGTGCCACGCTCTGGAGAATCGCAACACGGCGGACCGCCCACATAAAGAGGCTGGTGAACCAAACCATGGAGGGACTCGCCATCACTAAAGGCTTCTGCCCCAAAGTCAGGAACATGAAGAAAGTGTGCAAGGATGTGCTGAAAGGACTGCAGAAGACGTTTAGCGGCAAGACAAGTCTGGAGACTCTGATTTTACAACAGGATCCGGCTGTGGAGGCAGCGATCGTCCATTCTTTTCAGGCCCATATCAAACAGCTCTCTGCACAACTGGCAACCAAGGCTTCCTCCAGCTGGAAGAAAGAACTGCTCAAGGTCCTGTTCATTGCAGGTCTGCTTGCTATCTTCATTGTGCTCGCAGTGAAGCAGCACAGCAGCAGCTGCAGGCGGAGGAGGTGCTTAACATCTTCTCCATTTAGGGTTTACCCCGGGTACTCAAATAAAGATTTCTGATTCAGATTCTGAACTGGTGTAATGCTTGACAACACAGCTGCTGGAACGAAATAATTGGGAAGAGTTGAGTATCTATCATTGAAAAAGTTGTTTTTCAACAGTTGAGTAATTTCTGCATTTAAATAACTGTTTTGATGTGTTCCAGTCAGGCTTTCGTCCAAACCACAGCACTGAGACTGCTCTTGTAAAGGTCTTTAATGACATCCACTTAAACACAGACAGTGGCAGAACTTCAGTGTTAGTATTATTAGATCTCAGTGCTGCGTTTGACACTGTTGACCACAACATATTACTAGACCGACTGGAAAACTGGGTGGGACTTTCGGAAACAGTTCTGAATTGGTTTGAATCCTACTTAAAGGACAGAAACAACTTTGTTTCTATAGGTAAATACACATCTGAGTTGACAAATATGACATGTGGGGTTCCTCAAGGCTCCATCTTGGGGCCTCTTCTCTTTAACATCTACATGCTACCACTGGCTCAGATAATGAAGAACAACAAAATAAGTTACCATAGCTATGCAGATGACACACACATTTACATAACAATTTCACCAGGAGACTATGCTCCAATTCAAACACTGAGTAAGTGCATTGAACAAATCAATGACTGGATGTGTCAGAACTTTCTCCAATTAAACAAAGATAAAACTGAGGTAATGGTTTTTGGAGCCAAGGCAGAACGTATTAAAGTTAGCGCTGAGCTTCAGTCTGCAATGTTCAAAACAACAGATAAAGCCAGAAATCTTAAATATTTGCAAAACCTTTGAGTCTACACACATTTTACTACTTTAAACCCATGTGAATCCAGTGACCTGCATGTATAATGGTATGTTATTTTCTCATTATTAACGTTAATGCTTTACTCACCTACAGAGTGGTTTCCGTACAGCAGCTGCTCCAGGATGGCAGTCTTTCCCACTGCTGCCTGTCCACACACCACCACTTTACAGCCTTTTCCCATGTCGAGCCTACACACACACACACACACACACACACACACACACACACACACACACACACACACACACACACACACACACACACACACACACACACACACACACACACACACACACACACACACACACACACACACACACACACACACACACACACACACACACACACACACACACACACACACCACACACACACACACACACACACACACACACACACACACACACACACACACACACACACACACACACACACACACACACACACACACACACACACACACACACACACACACACACACACACACACACACACACCACACACACACACACACACACACACACACACACACACACACACACACACAGCACACACACACACACACACCACACACACACACACACACACACACACACACAGAAAATGGAAACTAGATTGTACTTTAGTACAGTACTTGAGTTAATCTACTTAGTTACTTTACACCACTGGCTATAACTTGGATTTTATCCTTAGCATTTGCTCGCTTTGTTGTTGTTTAGCCTAGCTAACTTTAGCTAACAGGCAACACGGAACAACTCATTGTGCGCCATGTAAACACACTAATAACACTCATAATACATTAATAGTAACAATACACTCTTTGGTAGTTACTGGTACATTTGGTTGAAGTTACTTACTTAAATCAGGAGGTTTACGAGCTGTCAATCGAGTCTTTAATGTCAGACACATCCGTTCTGCTCTGCTAGCATTTATAGTGTCACTGCGCATGCGCGAAGTAGCTTCTTCGTCTGTGTTTTCTTTTTTTAGAGCCGGTGGAAACCAGGCGTTAGCGCCCACTACTGGATACATCAAACTACTATTGATCCCAAATTGGGGAAATTCAGAATCAGAATACCTGTACTCGTCCTACATGAACAGTCGTTACAACAAAGAGCCAAATATAGCTTAATATCACTCAATAAGCATGAATAAGAATTAAATAATAAAGATAAAAACTAGAAATCAGAAGGTTCATGTTCCTGAGCAGAGATACAGTATGTCAATTGCAGAAATACTCAAGTAAAGTCAAGGTACCTACGAGTGAATACTTGGTGTGGCCTGCTATCACACTGAAGTGAAATGAGTCTTTGATCATGGACAGTTTTTTTAAAAGTAGAGGGACGATAGCTCATATATGAGATGTCAAAGATCTCATGTTTTAAAAAACATTTTACTTCTTTACACCTTACTTCTTCCTTCTGTCTGTCTGTACCTGTGTACTCTCATGTTCCGAATAACCCAGCTTCCCCCAAATTTAATTTTGGTGTCTATCTACGCCGGGATCCTGAGTCGTGGCTGATCCTGTTGCTGCGGTCCTGAGTCCTGGATCCTCTATCCTGAGTTCTGGATTTGAGTTCTGGACTTCGAGTCGTGGCTGAACCTCACTGTGGTCCTGCCTGACTCTCATCATACTACTTCCCTGATGTCTCCCACAGGATTGTTGACATCCTCGTGGATTCATCTTCTTATTATAGACACATGCATTTCCAAACATTTGGTCTTTCCAAACATTTGGTCTACCTACGCTGTAAAATGTATTATCTCTTCGATTTACACACGGCATCTATTGCACGTCTGTCTGTCCTGGGAGAGGGATCGCTCCTCTGTTGCTCTCCCTGAGGATTCTCCCATGTTCCCCTAATCATGCATGAATTATGAAAACCTCAGTCAGGATTTTTTTACCAAGTGTTATTATTGCTCTTGGGGCATGAAAAACAAGATTTGAACTTTAGTTTTTTTTTATCTAGTTTTTTCAAAGAAATGTTATATGTCCACTCAGGTGGACACTATGCGTTCAGGGTTTGAACTGAAGAGATGTATATTTTGAAGAAATTATAAATAAAGATGTGCAAACTTAAAATTACATTATAATAACATAAGTATATTGATTTACGGCCCAAAAAGATATTGCAGATGAAGTATTTACAAGAATAACCAGGGTCAGGGGTCAATTTGAGGCCCCACCCACAGTTATTTGATGAGTGCTAGTGGAGCCTGCAGCGGCGAAACCGTGCAGCGCCACCCTAATTGCGCCACATAAGCACATAGGTGCGCCTCAGATGAGGCCCCCCTCCGCAAGGTGTGGCCCCCTCCACAAGGTGAGGCCCCACACAGTCTGCATGATTTGCCTGTAAGGAGGGACGGCCCTGGGAACAACAGAAGCAGTACCAGTATGAATTGTAGTTGAAATATAGCCAGTGATGCATGACGTCCACTGTAATGGACAGGTGGTTAATCATGATTTCGTGCAAACATAAAATCAATACTTTGATAATTTATGAATTATATGATTCCTTAGTTGTTACTTGATGTCACCAACATTGTTATACCTGCAGGGGACGCTTTCCATAAAAGGATTGGCAAGATATAGATGGGTGACTTGGTCCATGTGGCTTTCTGTCGTCCATCTTGGTTTAGAGACATTTATCATGCACTGATTTTCCACTGAGTGGCAGTGTATGGGATGATGCAATAGGGTTCTATGTAGTGGCTGATGGTGCAACTATGCAAAAAAAACAATGCATATACAAGAAAACACCTTTTGAATAGCTGTCCACTGCATGCATGAAAGGGGTTTTAAACTGTGGGGTTTTCTCTGGAAGTGTTTCCTTGTACGATGTGAGGATCTAAGGACAGAGGGTGTCGTATTATCATACTGATATACAAACTGTGAAGTCCACTGAGACAAATGTAACATTTGTGATATTGGGCTATATAAATAAACATTGATTGATTGATTGATTTTTCATTTTGTTTATTTATTTTTTCGAGGAAGAAGAAGCACTCAGACTTTGTACTTAAGAAAAGGTAAGAGAAAGGTCTCCATAACCATGAAGAAACAGCCACCATGTAAATCTTTTACAATATGCTACTTTAAACTAGACATTAATTCACAATAAGACACGAAACATAAATAATACATCCAATAAGAGCCAGGGGGAAAGATAAGCATTAAGGCACAAAAACACTAATACATTATTATAAACGAAATCCAAATAAATCCCACATTTACCAAATGCAACATTGAAGTAATTGAAGGAAATCCATCACCGTCCACCTGGGGTCACTAGTGAGCGATGACGTACAAGTCCTGCGACACAATGCTGTGTGAGATTCCTGAGTCGCACGAAAACACTGCCGAGTGTGGCTGCCGACATTTGGTCGCTCAGAGAAAAAGGAGTGTGTGGAAATGACCGTGTGCAACTTCTTCCTCCAGGGACGGTGTCGATACGGGGACAAATGTTGGAATGAGCACCCGGGAGAAGAAGGTGGAGGAGGAGGTGGAGGAGGAGGAGGTTACAACAACAACAACAACTACAACAACCGCTCTTCTGCTCAGCAACAGCCCAGAGGAGGAGGAGGAGGAGGAGGAGGTGAACACAAGGAGAACAATTAAAGTTGTTTACATTGCCTGTAGCTGCTTCTTGTATTGAAAGCTATCCAGTAAGATACCGGCGAAGTTGACGTAACTACGTAGCAGGCAACATTTACTTTCGTTTCTCCATCATTGACTTCACACTAGGGTTGTTTACTTTTACGTGTGTGCCTTTTGAGTAGGCTGTAACATATTCTTACTTAGCTAGTTAATCGATTCAAGCATAAAGGTACTTTTACTGGACTAATACAAATAGGCAGAGGTGGAAGAAGTACTCAGATCTTGTACTTGAGTAAAAGTAGAAGGCAAGGCAAGGCACGTTTATTTATATAGCACTTTTCAACACAAGGCAATACAAAGTGCTTTACAAAAAATGAAAGACATTAAGAAAATGTCATTTAAAATCAGTCATTAAAAAGAAAAGCTAATAAAATAAACATTAAAAGAAAAAATACATGGATAAAAGTTACAGTGCAGTTTAAGTTATGAATAGTTCAATTAAAAGCAGCGACAAAAAGAAAAGTCTTCAGGCTGGATTTAAAAGTAGTCAGAGTTGCAGCGGACCTGCAGGTTTCTGGGAGTTTGTTCCAGATATTTGGAGCATAATAACTGAACGCTGCTTCTCCATGTTTAGTTCTGACTCTGGGGACAGAAAGCTGACCAGTCCCTGAAGACCTGAGAGATCTGGATGGTTCATAATTTAGCAGGAGGTCAGAAATGTATTTTGGGCCTAAACCATTCAGTGCTTTATAAACCAGCAGCAGTATTTTGAAATCTATTCTTTGACACACAGGAAGCCAGTGTAAAGACTTCAGAACAGGAGTGATGTGATCCACTTTCTTAGTGTTAGTGAGGACTCGAGCAGCGGCGTTCTGAATCAGCTGCAGCTTCCTAATAGATTTTTTAGTGAGACCTGTGAAGACACCATTGCAGTAGTCGAGTCTACTGAAGATAAAAGCATGGACAAGTTTTTCCAAATCCTGCTGTGACATTAGTCTTTTAATCCTAGATATATTCTTTAGGTGATAGTAGGCTGATTTAGTTACTGTTTTAATGTGACTGTTGAAACTCAGGTCAGAGTCCATGACTACACCTAGATTTCTGGCTTTATCTGTTGTTTTGAACATTGCAGACTGAAGCTCAGCGCTAACTTTTATACGTTCTGACTTGGCTCCAAAAACCATTACCTCAGTTTTATCTTTGTTTAATTGGAGAAAGTTCTGACACATCCAGTCATTGATTTGTTCAATGCACTTACTCAGTGTTTGAATTGGAGCATAGTCTCCTGGTGAAATGGTGTGTCATCCGCATAGCTATGGTAACTTATTTTGTTGTTTTTCATTATCTGAGCCAGTGGTAGCATGTAGATGTTAGAGAGAAGAGGCCCCAGGATGGAGCCTTGAGGTACCCCACATGTCATATTTGTCAACTCAGATGTGTATTTACCTATAGAAACAAAGATGTTTCTGTCCTTTAAGTAGGATTCAAACCAATTTAGAACTGTTTCCGAAAGTCCCACCCAGTTCTCCAGTCGGTCTAGTAATATGCTGTGGTCAACAGTGTCAAACGCAGCACTGAGATCTAATAATACTAACACTGAAGTTCTGCCACTGTCTGTGTTTAAGTGGATGTCATTGAAGACCTTTACAAGAGCAGTCTCAGTGCTGTGGTTTGGACGAAAGCCTGACTGGAACACATCGAAACAGTTATTTAAATGCCAGAAATTACTCAACTGTTGAAAAACAACTTTTTCAATGATTTTACCTAGAAATGGCAGGTTTGATATGGGCCTGTAATTGTTCATTACTGAAGCATCTAGATTATTCTTTTTTAAGAAGTACTCAGATCTTGTACTTGAGTACAAGTAGAAGTACTCAGATCTTGTACTTTAGTAAAAGTAGAAGTACTCAGGTCTTGTACTTGTGTAAAAGTAAAAGTACTCTTGTACTTGAGTAAAAGTAGAAGTACCAGAGTGTAGAAATACTCTGTTACAGTAAATGCATTCAAAATGTAACTTAAGTAAAAGTAGAAAAGTATTCTCATCAAAATATAGTGAAAGTAGCGACAGTAAAAGTAGTCATTGTGCAGATTGGTCCATTTCAGAATAATATATATGATATGTTTTATAATGATTGATCATGAAAGTGTTCTCAAAGCTGGTGAAGGTGCAGCTAGTTTGAATGACTTTGTATACTGCAGGGTAGCTGGTGGATTTACTCCAGGTGGAATTAAAGTCTGATTTAAGACTTGATAATATTTCACATCATTAATAGAAATCTGTAAAGTAACTAAAGGTATATTAAATACATGTAGTGGAGTAACAGTACATGATTTACCTCTGAATTGTGGTGGGGTAGAAGTTCAAAGTAGCAACAAATTGTACATAAGTACAGTACTTTAGTAGTAGTACTTATTCACTTTACACCACTGTTAATAAGATTAAAAACTCATTAGGAACGCCAATCCTTATGGTGCAATTGAACAACGCTGCAAACAAACACCTCGTCTGGCAACATTTCAATAAAGTTTAATCAACGTCTCTGTGAAACCGTTTAAAATGAGTTATAGGTTGGGTATTCGACAGACAGTCAGCCTTCGACAAATTACCATTTGACTGACTGAAAAAACCTCTGCCTGTGCTAACTTGCCCCTATTTGCAAAAGTTCTGCTAAAAATATATAGTAATGTGTGTTATCTGGCACACTTTCATTTGTTTGTTCAATAGATCAATGTCATGTGACTCAAAATTCCTGCAGTCATACTAAAGATGGCATACGTGCAGAATTGGCCGTAGAGGTGAAACCGATTTTATTTGAATGATTCAACAACTGTGTGCATGTTGGTTTCAGGGTTTGGAAACAGAGTTTGGGTGAATCCCTCCCAGCAAAAAGCAGCCTACATCCAGCCGTCATCTTTCTCCTCTCATGGAACTGAGGAGTGGGGTCGAGGAGGAGCTGGAAGCGGAGGAGCTGACTGGGGAAAGGAAGCAGCAGCAGGAGGTAGAGGAGGAAATGACTGGGGTAGAGGAGGTGGTGGAGGAGGAAATGACTGGGGCAAAGGAGGAGGTGGTGGAGGAAATGACTGGGGCAAAGGAGGAGGGGGTGGAGGAAATGACTGGGGCAAAGGAGGAGGTGGAGGAGGAGGCAATGATTGGGGCCGAGGAGGAGGTGGCGGGAGGAGTGATAACGTGAAGAGCTCCGAGTATAGCTTCTCTGCTCAAAACCGATTTTCAGCGCTTGATACTCCCAGCACCTTTGACAGGGGAGGAAGAGGAGGAGAAAAGCAGGTGCCAGCTGGAGAGGATGATGATGACAAAAAACTGTACGGTCCTTGTTTCTTATTACGTTTTGCATGAGCAATGTTAAAATGTGAGCATCAGGAATGATTAACTTCATGTCTGTCTCAGGGAGATCGTCCAGTCGGACATGGATAGTTGGGAGAGTTCGGGCCAGTGGGGCTTCTCATGTTATTCCTACTCCAAGGCGCCTTTATCTGGTCAGTATAAATCCACATCTAATCACCAATCCTTTTTCTTTGTAGACACTAGACCTGATAATGTTTGACATGTCTTGTCTACAGGTTTCACTGATCTTTCTCCAGAAGAGCTCCGACTGGAATATTACTCCACAAGAGAGTCCGGAGATCTTCAGGGATACGTAAGTGCTTTGTCTTTTGTCTTATAGTCTTTCCTTATATTTGTCTTTAGGCTCTTAAGTATTCTTTGCAGTAAAGATAATGGGTGTTCTTTTAATGTAAATGTTTTTTATCTGGGGTTTAGGTTAACGGTATCACTCAGTTGCTCAACCAGTGGAGAAGCAGAGTCCAGGAACTGAAGGTTATGAATCCAGCCACCCGCGCTGCTTTGGTGAGACACACACACACACACACACACACACACACACACACACACACACACACACACACACACACACACACACACACACACACACACACACACTGTAACAATGAGTATTATATTCAATTTGTATGGTTATGAAATACGTTTTAAAATAACTTCCATTCCTTGCAGCTTGCAGAGATAAACAACCCAGCACCTCAGGCATCTTCAGGTGGCTTTGGTTTAGCAACATTGACTGGATTTGGATCGTCTACATCCAGCGTGGAAACCAAAGGTTAGTTATAAGTATTGTTTTTTTGTAAAGGCAGAGGGTCAGCAGTACTACAATACTTGTGGGAATCTGTCATTCCTTTATATGATCAAAGGAAGCCAGCGCCAATAAATATCCTGGCAAATAACTCCTCAGAAAAACCAAATCCTGTATTTGAAAGGTTTTGTGTTCTCAAACACAATCATTTTAATGTCGTACAGCCTTACTGTAGATTCAAGATTCAAGGCTTTTATCGTCATGTGTGCTTAGCTACAGTGTAGTTATGTCGATGAAAATCTTAGGTCCCAGGCTCCTCCAAAAGGGCAACACAATAAAACAGATAAAATGGTGCAAGTAAATACAATAGAATAGAAGTAGTGTAGAGTCATATCTACCTGACAGTGGTTCCCCTCATCTCGTGTGAAAGCAGTCCATTGCTTCTTTGTTCATTCTAAATCTTTCTGACCATGTAGGCTTCGGGGCTCCAGCAGCGGCCGACTCCTTCAGCTTTGCTGCTCCGGGTGGAGGGTTTGGATCTTCGGCTGCACCACCCTCCTCCACAGGGTTTGGCAGTGCCTTAGCAGCTCCTACACAACCTCCCTCTGGATTTGGAGCCACTTCTCCATCTACTTTCTCCTTTGCTGCTCCGACCACCGATAAGCCAGCAGCAACTACAGGATTTGGCTCTGCCTCGGAGTCCACTTTCTCCTCGACATCAAACACTGGAGCAGGATTTGGGAGCGGTTTTGGTGCTCCGGCACCTGCGATGGCAAGTGGAGGGTTTGGGACGGCCGCTGCTCCCCCAGCAGCAGGTGCCGGGCCTGCGGGTGGAGCTTCAGACAGTCTGTTTTCACATGTGAGCATTATGACTGCAGAGGAACTGAATCAGTTTAAGGCTAAGAGGTTTACTCTCGGCCAGATTCCTTTAAAGCCTCCCCCTACTGACATGCTGGTGGTGTGATGGAAGGGACTTTTGAAATAAAAAGATAATTTATAGGAACATAAGATTTGTGCTTCTAATTAAACCGAAGTCATATTAGTAATGCTTACGATATGGCTAATGTTTATACAAAGCTTGATGTTCAGCTGTATAGTACACAGTACATTTTTAGATGGCCTTTTGTCATATAAAGTGATGTTTGCAATTGATTGAATGTTTTTTCTAAGGATTTTTCTGAACTGGTTTTCTAAGTTTGACCTTTCCCCATTTGGTGAAATACTGGCAGTGAACCATCAGTTGATGATTAAAGTAACCTATATTACAACAAAACAACCAAAAACATTCCTTGAACCTATGTTGAGCACTTTTATCCGCACAACAATCCTAGAAAAGGGTATTTCACTGAATGATTGGTTATAGAATATCCTCATTGATATACTGCAATCTTTCATCATAGAAGTTGTAATTACACAACTCAACCAGGAGAGGGTGACAGAATACAAGCTTTAAAATGCATTAGCCTTTCCCATCTTTAGTTAAGTATCAACAAACACTAGGCAAGTGTAAAATAGCTGGTTACTTGGAGCCAACTTTAAGAGAAGAGGCAGTTTGTTGCCTTAGAAAAACCTCTGTTTAAGTTGCGATTTGAATTGTAAATAATGTTGTCCAAAAACAATCCATCAACACCAACTTACTTACATCCACTAAAAGAGAGGCAAGTGTGGTAGTGCACAGATGACAGTGAGTGAGTGAGTGAGTCATTCAATACGTATTCATTAGGTGCTGAACATCCGATGGGACCACAAGTAGAGGCGACAAAGAGACATCAATAAGCTCTTCTGCTGCCATAAGGCCGTACGACTCCGCTGACTGCAGCATGTTTTCCGCTGACAGGGAGTTTGTTATATTGGCGAGAGGTGAAGCTGAGCTGGAAGTGCCGACTGTGTGTGTCAGTTCGTGTGTATGAAATCATCCTAAGTCAATATCTCATGGTTGGGTTCAAAGCATTTAGCATTATAGGTATAGGCATTGTTTCTCCCTGCTTCTCTTTCTGTTAGCAGTAACCTCCCAACCCCCCGCCAGAAAGCAGATAACACATAAATAATTCAACAGATTAATGAACGATTGAAAAGGCACTGTTCAGTGAAACTTGCCATCTAATGACTCTTAAATACATCTAACGGAGAAATATGGGCATCTGTGATCAGTTACTGCTGCGGCATCACATTAGCATCCTGCCTGTGTTTATGTAAGGTATGCATGAGCTGCACAGAGCGGATCAAAGCAACATTACGTACACACACATAATATGTTATCCCCTTGGAGAACATTCCGACCTGTATATGGTTATGGTGTAACTAAAGAAATGATTAATTCTACTCATTTGACATTATGTGATTAATAGCAATGAATATAATCTATGAATGCAGTAATTTTTTGCCTACTTCCCTCCTGGGGATTGTTCATTATTCCCAAGAGGAAGCCTGGATTTTGAGAGACATCTAAATTGTTATGAACACACACATACACACCTGTCATGACCTGTACACACTGCCCTCCTTCTCCTCCTTTAATCCCCAACCTGCCCCACCCTCCTGTCAAATGATAGTTTACACAAACCCGGTCACATGACCACGGTTGTGTGCTGTAATTCAATTGACCGTGACCTGACTCCAGCTACAGGCATATAGTACACTGCATATGGTGCTCCAATATAGTTAACACAATTTTCCATTGGGGCAACAGGGATGTTTGTCTTGTTAATTCCCTGTTTAAACCATACACTGCAGCCGTGTATGTATGTCGACACTATATGGATCAATCTTTTCAATTATTACTTCTGCAGCTGTGAATATTTCTTCTCCTTTAGGTTTGCTAGATCTTTTATGACATGCATCACCTAAATGCAGTGTTTATCAGCTTTATTACACAGCTATTGTTGTCACTATATCAGCTTATGAAAGCAACAGATGCTTCTACCACCTTTTGAATCCACTCTCTTTACAGAATACCAATGAGCTGATTTGGATTCAGTGATGTGTGATGGGGCTGATTCCAGTCAACCCTCCTTACTGTTGCAGCAGAGAACATGAATTGATTGTGTTGTGTCACAGTGGTTCGCCTATGGGAAACGGCATTGACCCAAGGCCTTTGATTTATGCCTATTTAAGAGGCTTGCCGGCAAATACCTCACGTGCAAGGTTCCCTACCAAGGTTTCTGTGCTGCAGATTGTAATGGGTTTATATTATGATTAGGGCACCAAGTTCTTCTACACACTGTTAGTAATAACATACTGTAGTGAGTAAATACTGTCAGTGCAGAAGTATATGTGCTATATACAGTGCTGGAATTGGGCCGGTACTCACCGGTACGCAGTACCGGCACTTCTGGTTCTGACCCATGGAGTACCGGCACTTCTTGCTCAGTACCGGCATGCTGGCGGTACTCCGGTACTCATGCACCGTGCCAGTACTCAACACTCTCCCGCCGTTCTTATTATACATCCATATATATATATATACAGCCGCCCGGTACTCAGTAGATGCGTCATGAGGTGCCGAACGGACATTCTCATCGCTATAACCGCTGGAGTTTCACAGCGGCTGTCAGCTGTTTACTCCTGTCATTCAAACAGAACGTGCTGGAGAGGGGGCGGGGCTTATCTTCTCCATGTAAATACTGTGGTGGAAACGACTATGTCAAAATTAACCTATTTGACCGTGATTTAATAGTAATACACGTTTCAAAATAATAATAATAATAATGCCGAAGTAACAACATACTGAAAACTGTTAGTAAAACCATGTTTTAATGCTTTACAATTTACATACCTAGATGCACGTGTGTTGTGTTTATGCAGTGCAACTCCCACCCAGTGGGTGGCTATGTAGAGTGATAGAACAGAGCAGGCACGCCCCCGAGAGAAGGAAAGCAAGTCACGTCACAAATTAGCATTTCTAAAATGTTAGCATGGATTAATAAAAGTGCAAAAAGACAGCGGTTGTCGCCGGAAGAAACTTCAAATACAGAGAATGCTGTGCCTGTGTTGGAAATTGTGTCTGATGGGGAGCTTTCTTTGGTTGATCCTCCTGCTCCAAGTTCTAGTGCATTAGCATTAGCACTAGCTCCGCCGCCTCCTCCAGAGCCTCTAACGTTAGCTGCTGCTGGCGCAACTGCCACCACCAACACCGGGCAAAGCGATGCACCTGACTGCTGGACAACGGACCAGGTGCAATATTTTTGCAAGACCAATGCATGGATCCTTCTTAAAGATAAGAAGCTAGGATGTCGGATATGCAGAGATGTCAAATCTTTGGGAATACACACTGGACAAGGACTGAAACTGTCAACTGAATGGGGTGAGTGTGCAGTGTCTCATTTCGGTGTTGACAAGGGCAAACAACAAGCTAGCCTGAGAAAAAAAAATTAAAGAACATAAAGAATCACAAGCCCATGTAAAAGCTGCTGACATCCTTACATCTGCTTCACGTGAAACTATTCAACATCAAGTGCAGTCTATGCATAAATCTGAATTAGACACCACTATCAGAGTTTTTCGAATGGCATATACAATTGGCAAACATAGCCGGCCATTCACAGACATGCCAATTGATTTGAATGTACAGAAACTGAATGGGCTGAACGTGGGCAGGGTTTTGCACTCCAATAAAACCTGTGGCGAAATCATCGACCACATAGCTCATGAGCTGAAGAAAAAAATGGCAAAAGACATTACAGAAAACCAAAGAAAACTCTGTGTTTTGGTCGATGAATCTACCACTATTAGTGGTAAAACGGTGCTTGTTGTGTGTCTACGCTCAGCATTAGCTGATGCTGAGCCCGAAACGTTTTTTTGGGAGCTGATCGAGTTGGATGGAACAACGGCTGATGACATCACAAAGGCGTTAATGGAGTGTCTTGGAAGAGATTTTAACGAGGACTTTTTAGGTCAGTGTTTCGTTTCTTTTGCATGTGATGGGGCTTCAGTCATGCTAGGGAAGAGAACAGGCGTTGCTACCCAGTTGTGTAGTAAATTCCCAAGCCTGTTTGTGTGGCACTGCTCCAATCATCGTCTAGAGCTGGCAGTTGGGGATGTGGTCAAGGAGGTCTCAGGGCTCAATCATTTCCAGATCTTTTTTGACAAACTCTATTCCTTGTTCCATGCCTCCCCCAAAAATCAGAGGCAGTTAGCGCAGTGTGCGCAAGCAGTCGGACAGCGTCTCCTGGTGATAGGGCGTGTTTTGTCCATCCGCTGGGTGGCTTCAAGTGAAAGGAGCGTCAGAGCAGTCTGGGAAAACTACCGAGTGCTTCATGATCACTTCACAAATGCTGCAAACGACACGAGCAGGGATTCCAGAGACAGAGCAAAGTACAAGGGCCTGGATGATGTGCTCACATCTGCAACGTTTGTCAGCAATCTGGGACTGATGTACGATGCGCTCACAGAGCTCAGCGACCTCTCTCGGCAACTCCAAAAAAGAGAGATGACACTGCCTACAGCAGATAGGCTCTTAACTCGAGAAATACGAGTTTTTGAATCCATGGTCACCATGCCTGGCCCACACATGACTACAGTTCATACAGCTCTAGCTGAGAAGTCCTTCAAGGGTGTTGCCCTGCGTGAGAATGGCAGGCTTGTACAGATTCATGCAGGTCAGTTTTTCCGCAGTATGGTAGAGAATCTGAGACACAGAATGACTTCCACAACCTCCTCTCATGTCAGCACAAGAGAAATCCCATTACATGGCCGGGAGGCCCGGGACAATCAGCTAATCCAGGACATGAAAGTTATCCATCCAGGAAGTTGGCCTGAAGAGGAGTTAGACGTACAGTATGGGGACGTAGAGGTGCTACGTTTGTGCGAAGTGCTGAAAGTGGACAGAAGAGAGACTGTTCAGGGCTTTCGCAAATACAAGGAAACCAGGGCATCCCGTACACCTGCTGCCATGGAGCCTCTACTGAAAGCAGTCCGAACCATCGCTGTCTCCACTAGTGAGTGTGAGCGGGCATTCAGCTGCATGAACGATATCCTTACTGCAAAAAGGAATGCTCTCTCTGTCAGCCGACTGTCCAGCCTGGTTTTCATTAAATGTAATGGACCATCACTAGGACAGTTCAATCCGGAACAGTATGTGAGGTCCTGGCTGGCAAAGGGAAGGAGAAGTGCTGATGAAAGAGCCTGTCCAGCTCCAGCCCCTGATACTGATGTCCCCAAGGCCTTCTGGAGCCTTTTCTAACAATGTGAAGTATATTGCAAAGCAGCTCACCCAGTGAGAAGACTTTTGGCATAATGTGCCGATTTGTACAGATCCTGGAGATAGAAGGACTTCAGACCAACCAGGGAGTTATCTGATCAGCTTGGTGTTCAATGTAACTCTTTACCATGGCTCAGACTTTGTTACTTGCAGTTACAGTTTCTCATTTTAGATTGTGCAAATTTTGCATTTGTTTTTACATGTTCTTTGTTCATGCTCTTTATCATTTTTCTGAGTTGGAAAGTTAGATTGCATCATAGTTTACTTTATACATATTTGTATTCTTCAGTGGTGAAGTATATTGCAAAGCAGCTCAGCCATGTGAGAAGACTTTTGGCACTTTTTCGTTTTTCGTTTTCTGAGTTGGAAAGTTAGATTGCATTCAAAATGTACAGAAATACTTAATTTTGTTAAAGCTTTTTATAAAAAATGCTTCTGACCAGAGCTTTGTTTCCTTGTCATTAATGTTGAACACCACCAGAGGGGCTCTCACCTGAAAGGTCTCTGCTTCATGTGTCTTCAGCAGAAGATCTAGACTTTGATTGCTATATTTTCAGTTAATATTGACCTTACTGAGCTTTAGCCATATCCGCTGCCTATCATAAAAAATGTTAAGTACAGTGAACCTTTCTAAAATATACAGTAGTAAAGAGACAAACCCACCAGCATTATAGTAGCCAAATTCTTGTTTGTGGGCTGTATATATAAAATTGACTTGAAAAAGTTGCTGATTTTAGAGTACTGGCACCTTTTTCATTCCAATTCAAGCACTGGCTATATATATATGTGCCATCGGCGAAAACACGTGGGTTTGCTGTCCTGGCTCCAGGATGGTGGAATGAGCTCCCCATTGACATCAGGACGGCAGATAGCTTGCACATCTTCCGGCGCAAACTGAAAACTCATCTCTTTCGACTCCACTTCGAGCGATAGAACTATTAACGAAGCACTTTTATACTAATAAAGGACTGGCTTACCTAAAGCCAGTGGAGTAGCACTTGAAATGTTTTTGCTCTATGAAGCCTGATGTACTTATATGATTCTGTTTTCTTCAAGTTGTATTTTGTTGGTCGAACGCACTTATTGTAAATCGCTTTGGATAAAAGCGTCAGCTAAATGCAATGTAATGTAATGTAATGTAATATTGAGACCAGAGTCACAATCAATTAAACTGTAGTGGCACTAAAAGGCTAAGCAAGAAAACTATGCTGCACTCCTTCCATGCGAGCTTCCTTTGTTCTGTATTAAATTGCAAAATACTTTTATTACCACATTTTCACTTCTGCAGCGAGTTACAAATAGCACTACTGTGAACAACTATTAATCCTAATTGAATCCGTGAAATCGATGGTATCAGATTCTCAATCTCTCAAACAACTATGTATACAGAAATAGTCCTTCAGGTATTGGATGAAAGAAAAAGCATGTTAAATTAATTGGTAAACCTGAATATTTTTTGCAGGGGAAACAAGTTGTGAACACAAAATTGACAGAACAAGGAATTGTCATTAATTTGATGTCATGTTACTGGCAACATGGCAAATGTAAGTAACTCTATTTTAGCTATATGTTGCCAACTGTATCTGTCTGCTTTTTGGTGCACAGCAGGTGGAAAATAGCTTGAGCAATGATAGTGACCGGAAACAGTAACGTTTTGTAAGTGTATATTACAGCTGCATATTAAGTTAATTTAGCTTTACCTGTAATAAATGTATACATTTTTTTAACCCGTGGACAACGGCTGGTTAGCTGTTTATCTCTGCTTTCAGTATGTATGCTTAAACAAGCTAGCCCTCTGCTAACTAGCTGTAGCTTCACATTAACCGTTAGCGAAAGTTAGCTGAACTAGCTAGCTCTGGGCAAAAGGCGAATACAATATTTCCCTAAAAGTCAACAATGATTTTTAAACATAGTTTTTGACTTACACAGCTGTGTCTTTAGGGCGAATTTCTGCATATGCCTATTTACAGTGGTGGAAGAAGTATTCAGATGCTTTACTTGAGTAAAAGTACCAATAGGCTACATCATTGTAAAAGTCCTCCTTGCAAAAGCACAAAAGTATTATCAGCAAGATGTAGGCTACTTAAAGTATACAAAGTTAAAGTAATTATTTTGCAGAAAATTATATTGATGTGACATTTCTAGATAATATCGCTCATCAAGTATCATTTTACTGAAACAAGGTTCTGAAAAAAAGTTAATGTTTTAGAGATGCATTTTGTTAAAAGTAGCTTAAGCTGTTAATTAAATGTAGTGGAATATTTCCCTTTTAAATATAGTGGAGTATAAAGTAGCATTACATGGAAATACAAGTAAAGTACAAGTCCCTAAGTAAATGTAGTTACTTTCAACCTCTGCATATTTACAGTTAGATGTGTGTTTAACCAAGCTTCCACACATGATGATGAACCGTTTGGTGTGTTGCGTAACTGCAGCTATGATTACGCAGGCATTCATTGCAATCCACCTGCTGGTTTTATCCATGTTACATGAACCCTCTTCTCTTTTTCTATACAGAAACAGGTTGTATTCACGTTTCCACAAGCCACATGTGGTCGCTGTTTGCCATTACCAGAGCCAATTTCCCCTCTCTTCTCCTCCCTCTACACAGCGTCTCTCACCGCGCCTTGGATACCGTGTGATCAGCAGCAGCAGCCGCACTGAGAGTGGAGGAGCCGTCCAGCAAACAGCCGACCAGCACAGCCAAAATACAACCCAAACGATGACCTTCCTACAGATACGACAAAAGCAAACAATTATTTGACAACTTCCGACCGCACACCTTGCCTTCGCTGCTCCTTGCTGTAAGCGGTAAGTGCTCTGATTCAGGTTTAATTGCAGTCATATCGCAGTGCTCTTTTTCACAGGGCAGTGAAAGCACCACTGTACTCTGAATATTGCAATTAATAGCAGATGGTCAGTGATAGGAGAAGCATGGCTCAAACTGGGTGCAGTCATGTGCATTTGTCTGTATTGCTAATACATATAGGCCTGTTGTAGAGGCAACAGATTAGAAGATAAGTGTCATTTGGGAAGTCTTGGTTTCCTTTTACACTCGCCTTTTTAGCTTTAGAAGACTCAATGCACAGGTTGCAGTTTCATTCATTTGTCCTACTCTTTTGAACTGTTTAAAGAGATTGATAAAGTCATTCAAGATTATATAGATAATGCAGATTAAGCCTATCAGTAAGGGATTTTATTCTGACCTAAATACTTTTATTTTTACATTTTATAAGCAGGAAAGGCCTAAAGATTTTTAGATATTTAAATAGGCTCCACTGGGAATTTTAACAAAGTCACTGAAGTACATTTTTTGTCTGTTGATTCAGGTATAGGGACAAAGTTCAGCGTGTCAGTGGCCACTGTGTGCTGGTGATCTGTATTATGGTTGTTTGGGATCAAAAGCATAAAGTCACCTAGCTCACCTTTTTGGATGCGTTTGTGCATGTGAGCGAAGGTGATGGTAAAAGTAAGGGGAAGGGAGTGTGGGGCAAAAAGCAAGCATATTTTACGAGAGTGGTACTTTGCCAGCTCTAGGGTCAGGCCAAGTGCGTGCTGAGGTGTGAGATTATATCACAAACACAACAATGTCCAGATCTCAAGCTGTGCTCCCCATCTGTGGATGGAGGCAGAAACATGTGATGGGGCTCGAGATTCAAGTGTCTTTCTCTCAGAGTCTGAAGCTGTTTAATGTTTCTGGCGTGTTATTCATAGTATCTTTCAGTATCTCTTGGTTTCATTCAATCTGGATGCTCAAAGCAACATTGATTCCTGATTCAGTACAAAGGGTGCAGAGTAAAGTCACACTTTATTCATGCTAAAGACTCTTCCACAAGCGATGTTAGTATTTTTCAGTAAGTGTAACAATAACAGGTTACGTTTTTTTGAAAAATGCAATTGCTGCTTTTTACATAAATAACATTTGTAAAATAAGACCAACTGACTTATTTATTTCTCAAAAACTGTACACAAAATAACACTGCACAACTTCAAATGTATGTGTTTCTGTTCATCAGTAGCAATCTCTAGCTTATGTTGTTTTATTTATTTGTTAAATAACCTTTGTGAAGCGATCCATAACCTAAAAAGATAAAAAGGTCGATTCCTATATGAAAACATTTCCCCCACCTGTTAGGCACAAAGTGAGAAGGATAAAGTAAGTCCATCAAGTTGCACTGAAGAAGTGCGCCATCCTTGGCCCGTCTTGAGGAGAAAGAGAATAATTATCCATGTGCTTTACTCTTGAAAAACTTGATCCTCTGAATTATCAATGGAGACAGTGAAAGCTGGAGAGAGACTCAACCTCGTTCTGTTGAAAACCATGTTTCTTTATCTCAATTTAAGAATTACTCAAACATTTGAAAACAGAGGCCATATTACACAGTCTGCACTTGTTACTAGTGGGAAAAAAATCCCATTTGACATATTTAAAAAGCGCCATCACACAGCTCACATGGCTCTTTGTGTCGCAGCTTAGTCCTTTTTTTAGATGGGTGTGGGGCTACCATGCAGATATGAGATGTGCAGCTTCCAAGTTCAAAGGACAGGCAAAACCTTGTCCTTTTGAAATATACATCACCAGGGTGAAATATATGTGTGTGTCTACAAGTATGTGTTTGAGTCAGATTGTACCATATAAGCAAGCCACTCAAAGGGCCAGCCTGAACTATATCTCCTTCCATCAAAGAGTCTCTGCTCACATGCATACACACCACACACTTTTCACATTGACAGCTGGAAAGGGCAAAGGCGAGACCAGTGCTGCACCCACACACACTCACACCGCTCTGATCATACTTAAGATCTGTAGCTGGCAGCTGCTGGCCCTGCTCTTCTTTGAAATGATAATACAATGAAAACAACTAAGGTGAGGGGCTGACAGCCATAGTAATAAGCAGGCTTGTGTGTGTAATAATAATAATAATAATAAATGGTATTTTTATAGCGCTTTTCTCGAACCCAAAGACGCTTAGACGTGTGTGTGTGCGTGTGTGTGTGTGTGTGAGTCTAGGTGCATATTTGTATATGTGCGTGTGTTGCTGTTGCGACCATATGTGGCTGTGTACACTTGTAGACAACCATCTGCCAAGCACAATTCCCTTCTGGACTGGTATGATGAAGGAGAGAAGCGGGGATTGTTAGAAAATGAATGCTTGGTTACTATTCTTCTCTATCTTCTTCTTTAGTTTTTTATGAGATTATTTTTGCCCACTCGGATTTAACCGATGTTTTTAAAGTGCGTCTTTATAAATACAGTCTGGAGATTATCCACTTGAATTCCACTGTACAAATCACCAAGCTATTCCTGACTTTACAACAGCAGTCCTCAGAAAATCAATTCCCCTCAACACCTGATACTGTTGCTCCTGCAGCAGAAAAGGTGACCTTCATCAGATGCGCCAGTTACTCTCTTGTTAACCAACATCTTGTCTGATACAAAAGTCTGCTTTGCTTTCTCCTAAGATAAATTCTACAAAAATAAAAATGATATGTTAATAATTACAAGAATCGTCACAATCTCTAAAGTAAATTCTCAATTTGTTTACGTTGTTTTTCTCAAAATAGACTTGGATTAGGTGGGGTAGGTAATTCACTTCAGAAACACTTGTAGTTATATTCCATGGAATGCTCTTAACATCCCGATAGCAATGAATGTATTAAATGCTTTGACAATAAATACATTAAAAAAAGTCATCTGTGGAAGCCGTGGCACTGTAAAAAGCACGACCAATCATCTGAGCCGGCCCGGCTAAAATAACTGGATGGCCTACCTGCCTGTCAGCCTTCCATCGGGGCACAAACTTATCTCGTGCCCTCATTGGTCATGTGCGCGTGTGTGTTGGAGGAGGGGCTCTGTAAGGAAGTCTGAAGGAAGGGGCAGATTTTTTTCGGCTGCGTACTTTCAAATTCTAGCGCACTCGAGCTGGTTTCTCCATTCTTACCTACCCTACTTTTAACTTCAATAAGAATTTAAAGTGAAGACTTACTGAAGGAAATTTGACTTACTTTTTACTTTGTAATTGTTCATTATTTAGCGGTATCTGCGTTGAAAATGTACAATATGGCTGCAACGATTTTTTTCTTTACTAATTATTTGCTTATTATTTTCTCAATTTATTGTTTGATTTGGCCACGGACAGAAAAGTGAAAAATGTCCATCCAAGATCTCAAAGTGGAAAAAATATGGTGTCTCGAAAGGCATTTTTTGTCAGTAAAAAATCTAAAGCTAAAGGAGAAAAACTGGAAATATAGGCTATACATATTTGCATCATCAATTATCAAAATGGCGATTATTGTTCTGTCCATGAACTACTCGATTATACAACCAATCATTGCAGCTTTAATTTTACAATAAAGAATTAAAAAAAAGCTTCATTACACAGACTAGCTAATATGCTACTGTACCAAAATACCAAGTTTTACAGATCAACCAAACACGTAAGAAACCGTAAGAAACTCCAAAAAACAGGTCATATATAAAAAAAAGATGGGAGATATATGCATTAAAAGCCTATGATATCATTTTTAAAAACACAAGCGAGGGGAGAGATAAATGTACAGCTCTTATCTCGTCCTCCATTAGGATCTATACGTGCAGTGACGTGCTTCAGAGCGTTCTTTGGTTGACCCCTGCTGGCTCCCTACAGGCTTGTTTGACCTCAGCACATGCTCTCTAAGCCATGGTTTGGGGAGTGGGGTTAGATTATGTACATTTCCCGCTCCCGGTCGTCTACAAGCCTCCCAGGTGGGACGGAGAGATGGAGCAGGGTGGTTGAGGGGCAGTGAGAGAGATGTCACTGGCCACATTAGTCACCAGAGCAAGCAGGCCATGAGTCAGGAAAGCTCCCAATCTCATCCATCACGACCCCCTTAACCCACTTTCCTTCCAGTCCAGCCACTCTGGCTTTTTATTTTGCTATTTTCTGCTAGCTCTCCATCCCCCTTGCTGCTGACGGAGTAACTTTCCCCTTTGATGAAAAGGAGCAGAGCGCACAAAGGGAATGCTTCAGTGCCGGACGGGTGGCAGGAAGAGATGAGAGCCAGGAGAGATTAAATGACCACCTTTTGGAGTGCAGCAAGGGACATGGCTAGGATATGGACTTTAAAAGAGATATATTAGAAACATATATGAGTTTGTTTCATTCTAAAACCACCAGACTAAGACTAAGGGACATTTTCATCCCACAGGCCATAAGACTGTTGAACACCTGAACTTTTGAAAGAACATACATAACATTCATCTGTTTGCAACTCACATATATCAATATTCCAGTTACTGTGTATAGTCTATTCTGCACACTTTCTATCATATTCTGTTTCTATTATATTCAATTTGTATTTTATTTACTTGTTTTATTGTGTTGCGCTGTTAGAGGAGCCTGTGACCTAAGATTTTCATTGTCATAACTACACTGTAGCTATGTACACACATGACAATAAAAGCCTTGAAACTTGAAACTTTATCACCGTTTTGGAGACAAAGATGAAATAGTGTTTCTAATTTTCACACAGATTCCCTACAGTGGTGCATAGAGAGAAACACCGTGAGCCGCTGGAGGGTGATATGAGAGGTCACACTTCTCTTAAAGGTTGCTGGCAAAAACATTGTATTGCTGGCTCAGCTTTGGAGGGATTAGTGTGGCGAGGCGAGGAGGTCCTGGGTTGAGTGATTGAACTTTAAAATGATACTCCACAGTGTAGTGATTTATCGATGTGGCTGAGTGCCAAAAGATTTTGTGGTAGTTGTTGTTGTTGGCTTCCCAGATCTCTGAAGTCACTTAAGTGAGTGTAACAGTATTACATATTCAGTT